TTTTATACGGCGATACTATTTTACATTAAAATTTAAATCCGTAAAATGTTTTATTAACTATTATATTATTATTATTGACAAAAAAAACTATTATATTATTAATAAATTATTAGATGAAAAACATATATATATATATATATATTATTTAATTAATTTAATCTTTTATATATTACTATCACATATTTATTCAAAATTTTATATATAGTTATTAGCATGCAAACTTGTTTTTCTTTTTTCGAACCCACATAAATTTTAAATAACAAACCAGAACTATGTAACTGTTAGCCAATTTCAACATATATCCATTATTAAATAATGTAACAAACCTGAATTATGTAACCTTTAGCCAATTGAATAAAAAGAATGATTCAGATACAAAAGAACAGATAATTACGACTTAACAATTCTAATCGATAATAACAAATACAAAAAAGACTATGTTGAAATTGGCTAACGGTTACATAGTTCAAGTTTGTTATTTAAAAATTGTGTGAGTTCAGGTTGATAAGTACTGGGGTTCAGAGTTTGGATTGAAAAAAACCGCATGGAAATAGTTGGGGTTGATTTTGGCCATTTTCCCGAATAAAGAACCCTCAAAAAATAAAGGTTTAAAGGTTTGTTGGAGTTCACAAAACCCCTAAATTTGAGAGTTTGAGGGCTTATTGAAGATATGCTGTTACTAATATATTGTATACCCAACAATAAAAGTTACAAATGAGAAAAAAGTAATAGAGAAAACAAAATAGATAATCATTAATTCTAATATTATTAATTCGTTATTTTTCTTTTATTATTTTTTTTACTATCCATAGTTAAATCCTATCCGTAGATCAAAAAATCTTTTTTTTTTCCGCAGATAAAGAATTTTTTCCAAAAAAGCATCCTCGAGTGCTTCCCGGTACCCCGACAATTCATTCATTGGCACATTTGATTTACTTTTTCCAACGATCACGATAATTTTGAAAACTTCCCGCACCCAAAATTTTATACGGCGATACTATTTTACATTAAAATTTAAATCCGTAAAATGTTTTATTAACTATTATATTATTATTATTGACAAAAAAAACTATTATATTATTAATAAATTATTAGATGAAAAACATATATATGTTATTTAGTTAATTTAATCTTGTATATATTACTATCACATACTTATTTATTCAAAATTTTATATATAGTTATTAGCATGCAAACTTGTTTTTCTTTTTTTAAATTTTTAGTAGTGATATAATCTTGGTACACATAAAGACAAACCTAAAAATGACAAAAAAAACGTTACAACTTTAATTAATTCTTTTGTCTCTTTTCTATATGTAATTATCAGCATGCAAGACTTGTTTTTCCTTCTTTTTATATATATATATATATAAAGATCAGTGTTAAAATATGGAAAGAAAAGAAAAGAAAAGATTGTTTTTTATAATTTCTGTATATTAATAATTTGTCTCTTTATTAACATGCAAAACCTGTTTTTTCTCTTGTTTTAAGTTCTAGCTGGTAATACATTGTATACACAAAGATATAAAAGTTACAAATGACGAAAAAAAAAGAAAAAAAAATATTAACGTTTCAACTTCTCTAATTTTCCTTTTTTAATAGGATTGTTTAATAGGATTGTTTGTAACTTGTAAGATATATAAGCTATAACGACTAAGATGAAAATATGAAATTTTTTAGAGTGTGAATAGTGAAGAGAAAAAGGCCAATATCAACTCTAACTATTTTCATGCATCTTTTTTTCAACCCAAACTCTAGTCCATTGCACTTATCAATCGAACCCACATTAATTTTAAATAACAAACTAGAACTATGTAACTGTTAGCCAATTTCAACATATATCTGTTATTAAATAATGTAACAAACCTGAATTATGTAACCTTTAGCCAATTGAATAAAAAGAATGATTCAGATACAAAAGAACAGATAATTACGACTTAACAATTCTAATCGATAATAACAAATACAAAAAAGACTATGTTGAAATTGGCTAACGGTTACATAGTTCAAGTTTGTTATTTAAAAATTGTGTGAGTTCAGGTTGATAAGTACTGGGGATCAGAGTTTGGATTGAAAAAACCGCATGGAAATAGTTGGAGTTGATTTTGGCCATTTTCCCGAATAATGAACCCTCAAAAAATAAAGGTTTAAAGGTTTGTTGGAGTTCAAAAAACCCCTAAATTTGAGAGTTTGAGGGCTTATTGAAGATATGCTGTTACTAATATATTGTATACCCAACATAAAAGTTACAAATGAGAAAAAAGTAATAGAGAAAATAAAATAGATAATCATTAATTCTAATATTATTAATTCGTTATTTTTCCTTTTATTTTATTTTTTTACTATCCATAGTTAAATCCTATTCGTAGATCAAAGAATCTTTTTTTTTTCCGCAGATAAAGAATTTTTTCCAAAAAAGCATCCTCGAGTGCTTCCCGGTACCCCGACAATTCATTCATTGGCACATTTGATTTACTTTTTCTAACGATCACGACAATTTTGAAAACTTCCCGCACCCAAAATTTTATACGGCGATACTATTTTACATTAAAATTTAAATCCGTAAAATCTTTTATTAACTATTATATTATTATTATTGACAAAAAAACTATTATATTATTAATAAATTATTAGATGAAAAACATATATATGTTATTTAGTTAATTTAATCTTGTATATATTACTATCACATACTTATTTATTCAAAATTTTATATATAGTTATTAGCATGCAAACTTGTTTTTCTTTTTTTAAATTTTTAGTAGTGATATAATCTTGGTACACATAAAGACAAACCTAAAAATGACAAAAAAAAACGTTACAACTTTAATTAATTCTTTTGTCTCTTTTCTATATGTAATTATCAGCATGCAAGACTTATTTTTCCTTCTTTTTTTATATATATATATAAAGATCAGTGTTAAAATATGGAAAGAAAAAGAAAAGAAAATATTGTTTTTTATAATTTCTGTATATTAATAATTTGTCTCTTTATTAACATGCAAAACCTGTTTTTTCTCTTGTTTTTAAGTTCTAGCTGGTAATACATTGTATACACAAAGATATAAAAGTTACAAATGACGAAAAAAAAAGAAAAAAAAATATTAACGTTTCAACTTCTCTAATTTTCCTTTTTTAATAGGATTGTTTAATAGGATTGTTTGTAACTTGTAAGATATATAAGCTATAACGACTAAGATGAAAATATGAAATTTTTTAGAGTGTGAATAGTGAAGAGAAAAAGGCCAATATCAACTTTAACTATTTTCATGCATCTTTTTTTCAACCCAAACTCTAGTCCATTGCACTTATCAATCGAACCCACATTAATTTTAAATAACAAACTAGAACTATGTAACTGTTAGCCAATTTCAACATATATCTGTTATTAAATAATGTAACAAACCTGAATTATGTAACCTTTAGCCAATTGAATAAAAAGAATGATTCAGATACAAAAGAACAGATAATTACGACTTAACAATTCTAATCGATAATAACAAATACAAAAAGACTATGTTGAAATTGGCTAACGGTTACATAGTTCAAGTTTGTTATTTAAAAATTGTGTGAGTTCAGGTTGATAAGTACTGGAGATCAGAGTTTGGATTGAAAAAACCGCATGGAAATAGTTGGAGTTGATTTTGGCCATTTTCCCGAATAATGAACCCTCAAAAAATAAAGGTTTAAAGGTTTGTTGGAGTTCAAAAAACCCCTAAATTTGAGAGTTTGAGGGCTTATTGAAGATATGCTGTTACTAATATATTGTATACCCAACAATAAAAGTTACAAATGAGAAAAAGTAATAGAGAAAATAAAATAGATAATCATTAATTCTAATATTATTAATTCGTTATTTTTCCTTTTATTTTATTTTTTTACTATCCATAGTTAAATCCTATTCGTAGATCAAAGAATCTTTTTTTTTTTCCGCAGATAAAGAATTTTTTCCAAAAAAGCATCCTCGAGTGCTTCCCGGTACCCCGACAATTCATTCATTGGCACATTGATTTACTTTTTCTAACGATCACGACAATTTGAAAACTTCCCGCACCCAAAATTTTATACGGCGATACTATTTTACATTAAAATTTAAATCCGTAAAATGTTTTATTAACTATTATATTATTATTATTGACAAAAAAAACTATTATATTATTAATAAATTATTAGATGAAAAACATATATATGTTATTTAGTTAATTTAATCTTTTATATATTACTATCACATACTTATTTATTCAAAATTTTATATATAGTTATTAGCATGCAAACTTGTTTTTCTTTTTTAAAATTTTTAGTAGTGATATAATCTTGGTACACATAAAGACAAACCTAAAAATGACAAAAAAAACGTTACAACTTTAATTAATTCTTTTGTCTCTTTTCTATATGTAATTATCAGCATGCAAGACCTGTTTTTCCTTCTTTTATATATATATATATATATAAAGATCAGTGTTAAAATATGGAAAGAAAAAGAAAAGAAAAGATTGTTTTTTATAATTTCTGTATATTAATAATTTGTCTCTTTATTAACATGCAAAACCTGTTTTTTTCTCTTGTTTTTAAGTTCTAGCTGGTAATACATTGTATACACAAAGATATAAAAGTTACAAATGACGAAAAAAAAGAAAAAAAATATTAATGTTTCAACTTCTCTAATTTTCCTTTTTTAAAACTTTATTAATACATTATCGACACAACAATAAAAGTTACAAATAGCAAAAAAAAGAAGAAAAAAAAAAAAGAGAAAAAAAATATAAAGATTACAGTTTCTATATTAATTCATATTTTACATTTTTCGTATTTTGACTAGTTAAATCCTTTCCATTAGATTAAAGAATCAATTTTTGTTGTGTCCGTAGATTAAACATGATAACAGTTTCTTAATTGAAAAGGTTAGAAGATGAAACAAAATCAAATTCATATTTGCCAACGTGGCAAACATCTTGCGGTGTCCTTGTCTCTATATAACACATCTATGACTCATATGGGATATGTACGATAAGTGATAACATATCTCTCTCTAGCTATATCGCTCTCGCTTCAGATTTTCACACCAATCATGGCAGCTTCTGCAACATCAAAGCTCCTCGTATCCGACATCGCCTCAGTTGTTGATCACGTCCCTTCAAACTACGTCCGACCAGTCTCTGAACGTCCAAACATGTCTGAGGTTGAAACTTCCGGCGATTCTATCCCTTTAATCGATCTCCAAGACCTCCATGGACCTAATCGAGCCAACATTATCAATCAGTTTGCTCATGCATGCTCTTTTTATGGCTTCTTTCAGGCAAGTCCATGAACAATTCACGTTCAATCTCCTTACCAATCTACTAGATTTACTTTGTTTCTTGAGTTACACTTATATTTTTCCTCGAGTTTACACTGTTTAAATCATTTTTCTCCGTTTTCTTTCGACTTCACTATGTTTTTATTGTAAGTCACCGTGTTTCCTTTGTTTTATTACAAAAGAAACTGTGTTATGTCCGATCAAAATGTTACTGTTGCATGTTTCCTTTGTTTTATTACAAAGAAACTGTGTTATGTCCGATCAAAATGTTACTGTTGCATGTTCTAGATCAAGAACCATGGAGTGCCAGAAGAAACAATCAAGCAAATGATGAATGTAGGAAGAGAGTTTTTCCATCAATCAGAGAGCGAAAGGGTGAAGCATTACTCTGCGGATACCAAAAAGACAACAAGACTCTCCACAAGTTTCAACGTTTCCAAAGAGAAAGTCTCTAACTGGAGAGACTTCCTTCGACTCCATTGTTATCCTATCGAAGATTTCATTAACGAATGGCCCTCAACTCCAGTTTCTTTTAGAGAAGTCACAGCTGAATACGCTACAAGCGTTAGAGCCTTGGTTCTGATACTTCTTGAGGCAATCTCAGAGAGCTTAGGCCTTGTGAAAGACCGTGTAAGCAATACTTTAGGAAAACACGGTCAACACATGGCTATAAACTATTATCCGCCGTGTCCGCAACCCGAGCTAACTTACGGACTTCCAGGACATAAAGATGCAAACTTGATCACTGTTCTTCTTCAAGATGAAGTCTCTGGTTTACAAGTTTTTAAAGATGGTAAATGGATTGCTGTTAATCCTGTTCCCAACACTTTTATAGTCAACCTTGGTGACCAGATGCAGGTAATTAGGACACAAATTGAAAAAAATTACTTTGTTTTGTTCACTCTCTTTGTACTAACTTTATGTGCTTATTTTGTTTCTCCTCTTAGGTGATAAGCAATGACAAATACAAGAGTGTGCTGCACAGAGCTGTTGTGAACATCGACAAAGAGAGAATATCAATACCGACATTCTATTGTCCTTCTGAAGATGCTATGATTGGTCCAGCACAAGAGCTGATCAATGAGGAAGAAGACTCTCATGCTATTTACAGAAACTTTACATATGCTGAGTATTTTGAAAAGTTTTGGGACACAGCATTTGCAACTGAGAGCTGTATTGACTCGTTCAAAGCTTCCACCGCCTAAGATAGTGTACTTTAGAATCAATCATGGTTATGACTATGTCGGTCCTTAGTTCTTGATTGGAACTCAAAAACCCATTTTGTGTTGCCATTTCAAGATCAGTAGTTTTCAAAAATAATAGATCTGCTTGGAAAAATAAAATAAACCGTTCTTGTAACAGTTTGAACTCATGTGTTTTTATATTAAGTACGTTTATACATATTGTAGAAGACATTCAAGGAGGAGCAAAGTAGAATGAAACACAGAAATCGATCTCGCGGACTCGAGGGTGCTCATGTTTGGCAGATTCTTGGCTTCAATCAATGCCTATTGTCCAAAAAATAAATCTGTTTAAACATCATCGCTGCTGAGAAGATCCAATGTGGATTTCGTATTGAGGAAAGTAAATCCCTAAACATAGTGTCCCTAGTAATTAGTTCTTACAACATATGACTTTCTAGCTACAATATTCTTGTCCATGTTATATACTCAAAACTAAACGAATCACATATATTAGGTTTATTCGCAGCAAGCTAATGCCAAATGGTCAGCGGTACAAGCTCAGTCCATTTAGGCACTCTATTTCAAAGCAATTCATTTGGCCAAGAAAGTTTCCAGCGAAGATCGCAATTAAGCAACAACTACCGCGCAACATATTAACCGTGCATATATGAATTAGTAGATCAGGACTAAAACCTTGTTGTATCACTAGTCAGCCAACAAAACGCATGTATTTGGTGTTGAAGATGACATGTCATAACATAGTAATTACAGTCTCTATCTTATTTACTATGTTAAACTTCTGGTTACACTCTTGACATGTAACATGTCAAATTCAAAATATATAAAACACTTGATAAAATATATATTAATGAATTTTTAATATATGATAATATTTTCCTCCGCGACATTACAGGGAGTGGCCAAATTAACCATTAAGAGTCCAAGAATGCTTTCAAAGCGAAAGCAAGTACTAAAAGGCATATAACAGGGTGGTTTAGAACACACCATAGCAAGATCAGAGGAACCGCAACCATAACCGAAGTCGCGACAATCCCTGTCGCACAAATGATCAAATCTTTCCTTGAACAGCTTAAACTTCATCCGCATCCACTTTGTCGACTCGAATACTCTACTTCCCTTACCTTGGCTTCATCATCTTCCTCGTTATAACGAGAGATTAGCAAACCCGGTATTCCAGTATCGAACTCGAGTCCTTGCGGTTCCCAATCTCCGTATATCTCCTCTGCTCTGTGTACATCATCAAGCTTCAACAAAGAGTTTATCACACTTCGATACTCTTCATTCTTCATCTACCTTACCTCGGATTCCGAGAGAGCTATAGAGTGAGATCATCAGATTGTACTGTGAAGTTCTCAAGAGCATACCTAGCTTCTTCATCTTATCGAAAGTAGATTCGGCTTTACTCAGCGATTTTTTGCCTGAGTTTGTGTCACTCTTTAATAGAGCAGTACTGTAGATAGATTCACCTTTCAGATTCTCCGGGATGCTCTCAAAGAACTTCTTTGCTTCTTCTAATCCCAATACGTTCTCAATCAAATGAAATCGAACTGTGTAATCTTCCGGGAGGTGATTGCAGATCTTTTTGTCAATCATCCACTCTGATAGCTCTAGGGCTTTAAGAAAGCTCTTGGAATCGTGGAGCTCCTCGACACTACATCTCACCAAGGAAGGGTTTAAATGATACCCTAACTGTTGTTGTTGCCATTGCTCAAGAACCGTAGTGATTGCTGCTTTATTATCTGCAGCCGTTTCGATCCGAATCTGCAGAGTACGGTTCGTCGGAGACGATAAGGTTCTGGTTCTGTAGGAGCAGAAGAATCGAGGCCTGCTAGTGTAAGCGAGGATTCGCTTTGCGTGTTGCTGAAGATTATGCATCATGCTCATTTTTTTATGATGAAACTTAGGGTTTTGCCTAACTTTTTCAATTCAATATTTTGATTTATAAGAAGTCTGAGATTCAAAACTTGAATAACAAGTATTTACGGCATCTCTATAATATTTTTGATTGATTTATTTTGAAAACTTTACTTACATTGGTGAGATATCCGTTGAGGTATCTTATCAATATAATTTAAAATTTTATGTTCAATTTTCATTAATATTTTTTAAAAATATCAGATTACATCTTAAACATATCTATAATCTAAGTTATGAAAAAAAAATATAATACTAGAAATGTTATGGATAACAATAATGAAGTTTGAAGTTTATATATAAGCGAGAAAAGTAATAGGTAGACAAGAATTTATAATAATACCAAAATGTTGACAACAAAAATATCAAAATATAATTTTGAATTTTTAATCCTCATTTTTTTTTAAATATTACATTATTTTATTAATTACCAATATTAATTTAATATTTTGTAATAACCTTAAATAAATCAATTGAAAATAATACTAATATATAATTTGAACTTATGCATAATGGAACTTGATATATAGAAAATTTATTTTATGATTTATAAAACTAAAAAATTTAAAAATGACATTATATAAATTATTTAATTACAAAAATTGATTTATTACAAAAGATGTTGACCAACATGTGTATGAGAAAGATAGTTTGTCTTTCTCATCTAGAAGCATGGGGTTCTCATTTGAGAACTCTAGAATATTTATAATAATAAAAATTATTTATTTATTAATGGAAGTCTCTAATGTAGATGCTTAGCTAAATAATTGCGATTTAAAATTTGAAAAGATTACGAAGTTAATGGGTTAAAACCAAACTAGAATAGCATCACGACAAAAGTGGTTTTCTCTAGTCAATCTCAAGAAAGGTGTTAACAAGATGTAGTATGGTAGACTAATTCATCCCATCTACTAACCCCTTATTGTATAGTCTTGGGAAACAAGAAATCGACAAAACCTAGCCGTAATAATATTAATTAAACATCATTTATCATGTGATTTTTAAACTATAAACAGATGCATAGGTTTTTGACAAATTAAGTAGGAATGGTGGGTCTTTTTTATATCATTAAATCTGTAAAAGTTTAATTTTGTTATTGGACGATTGTGCAACTCAAAGTCGAACTATAATATTTTCATGGAAAGCGAAAAAAGTCGTCTAAAATGTATTTTATGTTATCGTATCGCTTGTAGATTTCACGCAAGTGCTTGCTGATGCTATCTTAAAGGGATCTTAGAGTTAGCATTATTGTTTTTTTTTTCATATAATATGTATAACGTTCCAATTCATGTGTGTGTGTCTATACTTCTTTTGAACTTTCTTCTTTTTCTTTCTTCTCTTAATTAAAAACTAACTGTTTCAACCACTCTACGAAGAAAACACTTACTGATCATTTTTGTAATTGTAATTTATATTAATAATTTAAAAAAATTTCGTACGAATGATACTTTCTGACGTGTATATGACTATATATTCTATCTCCACAGAAAGAAAAGGTCCCAAAAAAATAATCTATTTTTTTTTCTTTTTTACAAAAAGAATATTTTGTTGAAAACTTTTATGTTGTTTGAGATTTAAAGTTTTAAATTTCAAATTTTATAAATATACGATCCAGTGGTAAAGTGAGGTAATTTCTGCAACCTGGATTTTCTAACATATATATATACACGAATATAGCACTTGTATGTGCATACGAACATAATAAAATTACATACGAGGATAAACTAAAATAAAACAAAATATAGCACTTGTATGTGGTCTGGTGGTAGTTGGATCTGTGATAAGTCATAGATTCGCTACTTCCTGATTTCGATTTATACTATTAACACAATAAAAAAATATGTTAGAAAACATGAAATTGGACAATATGTTGTTGGTGATGGTTGTGTTGTGCGTTATTTCTTGAGTAATACCTGATACATGCAATCGTAAGGTAGTATATACCGGTTCGATTTACAAGAACCAATGGTACACTAAAGATTTGCGAGACTTTTTTTAACTAAAATTTTGAAGTTTATTTGTTGGTTTTCAGATTTGTAAATAAAAATAAATAATAAATAAATAATTAAACTTATGAATTAAAGATATTGGACTATAGGGTAATTCAAAGAACAATGATTAGTAGGATACATGAACCAAAGAATTCAACAATGAAGAATCGTTCTCAAACAAGAACACAAGTTTGGAGTAATTCTCTTTCAAGACGTTAGTCACTAAATTTGACTACTCGATTACTAAACTTTCATTTCTAATTTCCTAGTCAAATTTCCATTATCAAACAGGTTCATTTGGTTTACAATGCGTTCTAGCATCAATTCTCGTAGGTTAGAAACACATTTCTCAACTAACATTTGTTCAAGCATTATATCGAACACTTTTGATGCATAGAAAAATCTATCTTATAAAATAGGGTGATCATTCATATTCTAGCATTAAGAGTATGTAAATTAAAGAACCTAAGTATAGAAAATTTCTAATGACAATCAAACCAGTAATTTATTGAATCTTCTACTAAAAACCCCTAAAACCCAATTATGAAACTATTCACACATAGAGAAAGAGAAAAGACATATAGATGTAAAAGAAAACATGATTTGATTAAATAGATAAGAAATAGGGTTTAGAAATCTTCTAAAGAATGTCAAAAAAATGTATCTCTAATCCCAAAAGTAGTAGCTTACAGAAAATCTATCAGAAAAGATGAAGAAAAGAAAGTGTAAGTAGTCCAATAGAAAAAAAAAAAGGGTTTTAAAAACATAGAAATCGGATCCGGATCAACGGGAACAAATCGGGTCAATGATAGATATTTGGCTCTACGGTAGTTGACTCGTTCCCTTTTAAGGTCAGGTGAATAGGTCAGGCGGATCTACAAATGTTTTGACCCGCCTAACCTCTAGTCGGGTGGATAGGTCAGAAAGATCCGCAGATGTTTTGACCCGTCCTTCCTCTGGTCGGGTGGATCGATCAGACGAATCCGCAAACGTTTTGACTCGACTTACTACCTTTGGTCTGGTGAATAGGCCGGGTCAACTATTCTAAACGTATTTTCATACTCTGTAACCATCAAAATCTCACCAAATAACCATCAAAGTTTTATTTTTAAATCATACAAAAAAACACTTTTAAAATTCCACCAAATCATCACATATTTTTCAAAGTCTCTTCAAATCTAAACTACATCAAATCTTCAAAAAAACTACTGATCCAATAAAGGTTAAAAAAAATCTACTAATCCAATAAACTCTTCTAATTAATGTATTTTTCCTTTGGTAATACCTATTTATATACAACTAATTTACGTGTTCTCCACCATAGGTTATATATTTTAACTCAGTAGCTTTCCTTACAGACTGCTCCGATTTGGTGAAGATGGTGTCTTCCCCACAAGAGTGGCCAGCGTTCGCGACTTACTTGGAGGCGATTCAGAGCGACAAGGAGGAGTTTGATTCTATCTTTTTATCGTTAATTTCTAGAAATTTGAATGTGAAGGCGGATAATTGGCACGAAATGTTCGTACCCTACCGCAACTATCTACTTATGTAAACAACATTCCTCCACATTGGCTCATTTGAGCCAATCCAATAAAGCTGTTGACAAAAAAAAAAAAGTTACGTCGACCAAAAACATATAACTTTATTGTGGTTTCATCGTTGATTTATTCACTTTCAGGTTGGTAGATCAGGATTTGAATCTTTCAATAGTCATTTTAATCATATTTGACAAAAATTTTTTTTTAATTTTAGATACGAAAGGCGATCACATGTTTTTTGTTAATTCTTTTGATAAAGAGTTGTAGTTATAATCTCATCCAATACCTGGAACTAACCTTTTGGTATTCTAATTTAAAGAAGAACCTTCTGTAACAAATGAGAATTAAATCCAATGCACAAAAAAACTAACTATTTGTCGAGCTAAGTAACGAGAGCTTGTGACCTGAGTGGGGACAATAAGATGATGGAACAATAAAATTAAAAAAAAAAAACTAACTATTTTGTACTATCATTAGACCACCACCCATTCGCAACTCCGAAAGACGATCACATATTGTAGATTAAAAGACAATCTTAATCACATTTTCATCAAAGGTTTTCCTTAACGTATTTGGTGGGCATGATTTAACAGCTCAATTTGGCAGGTCAACGAATCCAAGCGTGCTTTAAACGTTATATATTTTTCAACTTAATATAAGACTACTAATCAATTTTTGAAAAAAATCAAAAAATCATAGTCATTGTTTTTCTTTGTTAATTCATATACAGTCATACAAAACATTGACAATTTATCTACTGTTTAAAATAAATAATACAATTATACAAGTGTTACTTTACTAATACTGCCGTCCGTAACACGGCAACAAAAACGGAGAATGACGTCATCATTACTGATGTCACACCTACATCACTCTATGTTCCTAATATCACTTATAAAGACATTAAACGTTACACTTGTGTATATTATATAGAATTATAGAGCATCTCTGTCCCTTTATATTTCATCTTTTGACATGATCAAATTACCAAGTCATGGTAACTTCTGCAACATCTAAGCTCTTAGTGTCTGATTTCGACTCCTCCGTTAGTCACATCCCTTCAAACTATGTTCGACCAATCTTCGACCGTCCAAACTTGTCTGAGGTCGAGAGTTCCGGTGATTCCATCCCTCTGATCGATCTCCGGGAGCTCCATGGACCTAATCGAACCGAAATTGTCCAGCAACTTGCTATTGCTTGTTCCACTTATGGTTTCTTTCAGGTAACTCCAAGTTTAAACAAAACGTTTACTCTGTTTAAGCTCTGTTTCAAATTTTCTTGTTTATTATCTTCTAGATCAAGAATCATGGAGTACCGGATACAACCATAGATAAAATGCTAACCGTCGCAAGAGAGTTCTTCCATCAACCCGAGAGCGAAAGAGTCAAACACTACTCGGCAGATCCAACAAAGACGACGAGAGTCTCCACCAGTTTCAACATCGGCGCAGACAAAATCTTGAATTGGAGAGACTTCCTTAGACTCCATTGCTTTCCCATTGAAGATTTCATCGAAGAATGGCCTTCTAGTCCCAGCTCTTTTAAAGAAGCAACAGCTGAATACGCGACAAGCGTAAGAGCTTTGGTGTTGAGACTTCTTGAAGCCATCTCAGAGAGCTTAGGCCTTGAAAGAGACCATATAAGCAATATATTAGGCAAACACGCTCAACACATGGCCTTTAATTACTATCCACCATGTCCCGAGCCCGAGCTAACTTACGGACTTCCCGGACATAAAGACCCAACCGTTATCACTGTCCTTCTTCAAGACCAAGTCTCTGGTTTGCAAGTCTTTAAGGATGATAAGTGGGTCGCTGTTAATCCAATCCCCAACACTTTCATTGTCAACATCGGCGACCAAATGCAGGTTTGGTAATTAAAACAAATCAGTTTCCTTTGTTTAACTTTTTATAGTATTTTGGGTTAAAATTCCTCTGTTTTAACACTCTATTGTGCTAAATTATGTGGTTGTGTCCACACCTTTCAGGTCATAAGCAATGATAAATATAAGAGTGTGCTCCACAGAGCCGTAGTAAACACCGAGAATGAGCGATTATCGATTCCCACATTCTATTTCCCTTCGACAGATGCAGTGATTGGTCCAGCACACGAGCTGATCAATGAACAAGACTCTCTTGCTGTTTACAGAACCTTCCCATTTGTTGAGTATTGGGACAAGTTTTGGAACAGATCACTCGCTACTGCTAGCTGTCTCGACGCCTTCAAAGCTTCAACAACTTAAAGAGAGTCTATTTTGTAATCAATCTTGAATTGGCTCTTTAGTTATTATACGTAATCCAAAAAATATCTCTATCTTCGATATATTTAATAAGGACGTTTCAAGATCAGTTTGTTTCTTATGAATATTAGCAAATTTTCCATAAAAAAACAGTAACACAAAACTATCACCACTAGTCATCTCTTTTCAAAACTAAACTGTTTTTATACAAGTGGCCCGTTTAAGTCCACGGTCTTTGGACCCACCACAATAACCTTATTTATAATTGGGTTGGCATAAATCTTAGAAGTGTTAAGTTCTATGGACTTCCAACTCAAAACCGATTGGCAATGAGTGGAGTGGCCCATATCCCTTATATATTACTTAGGATCCCTTCCAACTTCCGATGTGGGACATTATGTCCTAATACGCCCCCTCGAGATGATGGCTCTTTAGCCATTAATCTCGGAATGTTCGGGCTTAGATCGACGGCATCAATTTTGGGCCTTGTCGATGATTGGACCATCTTTGGGTCGGATCGGGTTGGACATGTGTGGATCGGGCTCTGATACCATGTTAAGTTCTATGGACTTCCAACTCAAAACCAATTGGCAATGAGTGGAGTGGCCCATATCCCTTATATATTACTTAGGATCCCTTCCAACTTCCGATGTGGGACATTATGTCCTAATAAGAAGGTCATAAGTCGCAATCATTGGGATGGAGAGAGGTGTGTGTTTTAAAGAGTTAAATGAGTGCTAAAGATTTGCCAAAGATGGTAATGTGAGCTTGGACCAAAGTGGGGGCAAAGAAGTGGTGTGGATGATTTGTTCGGCTTATGTTGGATGAGTTCGTTCGTATCCGGAGTTGCATTGCGTGACCTCATGAGGTAATCGCAATTGGAGCATTAAACATTTTGCTAAACCCTATTTTTCAGTTACTTGGATAACAAGATTCGAGAATTTTTCATGTTTGTTTTGCCTCATCTAGGTTAAATTTTTTATGTTTGAATATATTTCATTTACCTTGGGAAAAATAGAGGAATTATAATTCAAAACAATCTAGGTTACAAAGAGACGACGATCATCAATAGCAGTGATTGAATTTGAAGCGTTAGAGAGATTCGATGTTGTGGAGGAAGGAGAGAGAGGATGATTTGTCTTGTCTCTTGTGTATCAAGATGCAATGGTGATAAGTGAAATCCGGAAGAAGCTTCCATGTGGACACTGTTAACATGAGAATTGTATTGTGCAATGGTTGTCCTCTTTGTATATTCCAGCTTCAGACTGATGATGCCAGGTATGAGAGGAAGAGAGCACCAAGAAATTGCTTCGGAACCAAGAAATTGACACATACACTCTCTTTTTTTTTTTATTATTCCCATTAGTGTTATATTATCTTGTTAATTTATTTCAGGCTAGGAGTGGACATCAAAACCAAACTAAATCGAACCGAAATTCATCAATTTCAAGTTTGCACCGAATTTTATTTCAACTCGAACCGTATATACATAATGTTTTGAGTTATTCGAATCAAACTTGAATCGAAACTTAATACATTAAAACAATCTTAATTAATATATATATATATATATATATATATATATATATATATATATATACTAAAAAATCTAATAACTTTAGTTTTATTATAATTTTTATCCTAAACCGAACTGAACTGTAACCAAAAACCGAAACAAAATTAGTATCTATTTGGGAATTCCAAAACACCTAGATATCCAAAAACCCATACCGTTTGAAACCAAAACAGAATTCCCATGTCTAAACTAAATCGAGGACTGATATGTAATGACATTACTGTTGATGATCTTAACTATTGAAGTAGTACCAATACAAAGCCCTGCTTTGTTTTCTTTTTGTTTGTATATAATTGTATCATAACTGTCTAGTTCTCTTGAAAGCTTTTAACCAAAAAAAAAAACTGTCTAGTTCTTGTGTTTCTCTATCTTTTCATTATTATGTTTTAAAAATTTGCATAATTCGAAGTGTAAGTAAGTATATAAGGATTCAAAAACAAGAATACACAAATCTTTATTAGTTGGTGTTTACAAATTTTTATTTTTTTTATCCTTCGAATTATATGTTTTAAATATTATTTTTCTTACTGTAGGAAAAGTAAAAATTAGTAAGATTAGAGAACAGGAAAAGTAATTACAACTTTAGAAAAAAAAAAAGGAAAATGTTGTCAAAAAAAAAAGGAAAAAAAAAGTTGTAACTTATGACACTGATACGGCAGTTTGTTCTCTATATAAACAAACTTATGTTCTTCTCTTCTTCATTACAAAAATCCTCAAAGCTTTTCTGAGTTTATACCTGATCAATCTATATCTCTTTTCAAGTCGAGTGATTATAGAATCATGAATTCATTGTTTAGTATGTTTGATTCCTTTTGTGCAGAGATTATGAGGAACAAATTTACATCTAAGTCATCCTCTCATGGATCATCTACTTCTTCGTCGGGTGTTCAAGCCGTGTCGATGGAGAAGACAACAAAGAAGGTTTTGATGGAGAAAACACTAAGGTTTGCGCCGGAGTATGACGGGCTTCACTGCTTCGAAACCATAGTTCCTTCTTGATTATTCCACTACGATTTTTCCTTTTTTTTTTTTTTGGTCTTGTGTGTTTGATCCTAAATACAAACAAGAATAATTATTTGGATTGGTTCACAAGTTTCTTTATTTGCTCCTAGTCTTCATTATTTTTTATATTTCATATTGGTGACGATGTTCTTCCGGATCAAGTCACGGTAATAATCTAAATGCAAAACTAGGTAACCAAACTTTGCAAGAGATTAGAATTTACTAGGGTTGGGCATGTAAACCTAACTTAGTTTGGTTTTGCGAAACCAAACCATCCCTAAGTTTGGCTAATTCAGTTTAGATTCTGTTTATTTGGTGACCTGATTGGCAATAGGAAGCATGAAATTCAGTAACCGATTCACTTCGGAACAACCAAACCAAAATTTCCAAGATATTTAACAAATTTAGCCAAAATACCAAAATTGTCGAAATTTTATCCTAATTTAATTAAAATTACTTAGATATACTAAATTTAACCAAATCTATTGGAAAAATTGAAATTTTTGAAACAGAAGAAGCAATTTATGTTCAATTATATTTTAGCGCTAATCTTTTAGTTGAACCGAACCAAAATTTGTTTTTTGTTAACTTTAATTTTGATCTACTTCGGTGATATTTTGATAGAGTTGAAATCTAGCTCACAAAGTCCTTGGTCCCTTGTATCTCTACAATACCTACGTTATGAGGAAATGAACTCATGAACACTTTCTATACCAACATTCTCTCCTCTATCTTACCGATGTGGGATCTTTATCATATTTTTTCCAAGCTCAAACACCTAAGTTCGATGACGAAAAATAAAATTAAAAAAAACACCAAAATTCCAAAATTGCCGAACAAAATTGGACAGATTCTTCCACGATTTATAAATCTGCTTAGAAAATAAAAACCCAAATTTATATCACAGAATTTTAAACTTCGGCCCAAACACACTCTTTACGATCAACTTTTTCGCCTGACAAAATCTTTGAGGTTGTTGTAGTCTTGACTCTTGAGCCTTGAAGAGAACATTATGTAGCAAACCTTGACCGACAAAATCTTTTCCATTTTTTTTATTTCTAGATCATAATCTTTCATACGAGATTCTTTTGTACTTTCTAATTTCTTTGGAGCTAAGGAATCATCATAAAACATACTCTGGTTTGTTATGATGATGTGTTTGTTCAATACATTGCAATAAACTAGATTTTAGTTGACTAACCACACGATGTTTGAAATATTCCTTAGACATTGTGTGTTGGATTAAATTAAAACTTTGTGACTCTGACTATATGACGAAAGATAAGAAATTCAAACAAGAAAATCATAGAACAATTCCAAGAAATGGAAACATTCTTGGTCAAGCTCATCTAAAGGCCACATGTGTATAAATGTTTAAGGTTCCCCATTATTAGTCCCCAATTACATTCTCTTGTAATGAGTAATCATAGAACATCAATCTTTGTGGTACTAAGTTTGGTTATAATTCTCAATGGGCAGAGCAGTTTCTTGGCGCGAGCCGGTGCTGAGAGAAAGGTACTCGACAAATATATAATTTCATAATTTTAGTAAGAAACGTGAACAGAGACCAATAGACTAACAAATTTGGTTCTGGTGTGATAATGAACAGGTTCATATAGTTTATTTAGGTGAGAAGCAGCATGATGATCCCGAGTTTGTCACGGAATCTCATCATCGGATGTTGTGGTCACTTCTTGGAAGGTATGCAAGTGTTGTTTTCTCCATTGTCTATAATGTCTCAATATTTATATAAATGGTTCTTGCTTTTGCTTCATCATTCATGTTAACAGTAAAGAAGATGCCCATGATTCAATGGTGCATAGTTTTCGACATGGCTTCTCAGGTTTTGCGGCCAAACTTACCGAGTCTCAAGCCAAGAAAATTGCGGGTACTCGGTCCTAATCTCACATTTTCTTGGCATCTAAGGAACCAGACACATATATGAACATGACATCTTGATTGTCTCAATATGCCAACCTGATTTTGTTTTCCAATGCTTTTTGGAAACAGATTTACCTGAAGTTGTTCATGTCATACCGGATAGATTCTACAAACCGGCAACAACTCGGACTTGGGACTACTTAGGCCTTTCTGCTGCCAATCCAAAGAATCTTCTAAATGAAACTAATATGGGTGAACAAATGATTATCGGTATTATCGACACAGGTATGAGTGTATATGTGTACATTTCTTAAGTTTCATGTTACTATTAATTCCTTTGAGGCTCTGTCTTAGTGTTTCAATGACTAAACTGTTTTGTGCCAATGTAGGAGTATGGCCAGAATCTGAAGTATTTAACGAAAATGGGATTGGACCCGTGCCAAGCCACTGGAAAGGAGGCTGTGAATCAGGAGAGGATTTTAATTCCTCTCACTGCAATAAAAAGCTCATAGGAGCCAAATACTTCATCAACGGTTTTCTTGCGGAGAACGAAAGCTTCAACTTCACAGAATCACTTGACTTCATTTCCCCTAGAGGCTATAATGGTCATGGAACACATGTTGCAACCATCGCGGGCGGCTCATACGTGCCCAATACAAGCTACAAGGGCCTAGCTGGAGGGACTGTGAGAGGTGGGGCACCGCGTGCTCGTATAGCAGTGTACAAGACTTGTTGGTATCTTGATGATTTAGACATAACGAGTTGTTCATCCGCTGACATCTTGAAAGCAATGGACGAAGCAATCCATGATGGTGTTGATGTTCTATCTCTTTCTCTAGGCTTTGAACCTTTGTATCCAGAAACCGATGTTAGAGATGGGATAGCTACTGGGGCATTCCATGCGGTCTTAAAGGGTATTACAGTTGTTTGTGCCGCTGGTAACGCGGGTCCAGCGGCTCAAACCGTTACAAACTTGGCTCCTTGGATCATCACAGTGGCTGCAACTACTCTAGATCGGTCCTTTGTCACACCTATGACACTTGGGAACAATAAAGTGATATTGGTAACAACAAGATATTCACCATGTAGATGTTTCAATGCATTTTATTTGCAAATGTTTTGGTGATCTGTTTCTTAATGCAGGGTCAAGCAATATACACAGGTCCAGAAGTTGGCTTCACTAGCTTGGTTTATCCAGAGAATCCAGGGAACAGCAATGAAAGCTTTTCTGGGTAATATCCAATCTCTAGTTTCTTAGTGTACACCAAATCTCGAACTATAAAGAAGATCAATTCTTTGAACTCACCCTGGTTCTTGTAATGCAGTACCTGTGAGCGTCTTCTCATCAATTCTAATAGTACAATGGCGGGGAAAGTCGTGTTGTGTTTCACAGAATCACCTTATAGTATTTCTGTAACAAGGGCTGCACGTTATGTGAAGAGAGCCGGTGGTCTCGGTGTAATCATCTCAGGACAGCCAGGCAATGTTCTCCGACCATGTCTAGATGATTTCCCTTGTGTTGCTGTTGACTACGAGCTTGGGACGGATATACTTTTTTACATACGTTCAAATGGGTATTGAAAACATAGACTAACATCTTCACTACTTAAAAAAAGTAAGAAAATTAGCAACATTTTGTTGTTTGGCAGATCACCTATAGTGAAGATACAACCTTCTAGGACACTCATTGGACAACCAGTGGGTACAAAGGTAGCAAGTTTCTCATCAAGAGGACCTAATCCAATTTCAGCAGCAATCCTTAAAGTATGTCAGAATCTTCACATGTTCTGTTTTGTTCACACTCAAGATATTATCTTGCCTTAGATGTTATCAATCATATGAATGCAGCCGGATATAGCAGCACCGGGAGTGAGCATATTAGCGGCTACAACCACCAATACCACTTTCAACGACCGAGGATTCATTTTCTTGTCAGGGACATCAATGGCAACTCCAACTATTTCAGGAGTTGTTGCACTTCTCAAAGCTTTGCACCCTGATTGGTCTCCTGCTGCCATTAGATCAGCTATTGTCACTACAGGTTTCTTATATTGTTCATTCAAAGTAAATTAGATAAAAACAAGAACATAGACGATATCGATAATCGTCTTTACTCTGCAGCTTGGAGAACAGATCCATTTGGAGAACAGATTTTTGCGGAAGGGTCACCTCGGAAGCCAGCTGATCCATTCGACTATGGTGGAGGTCTTGTGAATCCAGAGAAAGCTACAAAACCAGGTCTTGTATATGACTTGGGACTCGAAGACTATGTTCTTTACATGTGTTCTGTTGGTTACAATGAGTCATCAATCTCTCAACTTGTCGGTAAAGGAACAACCTGTTCGAATCCTAAACCATCTGTTCTTGATTTCAACTTACCCTCCATCACAATCCCAAACCTCAAAGATGAAGTTACTCTCACTAGAATCCTCACTAACGTTGGCCCACTCGACTCGGTCTATAAAGTAACGGTTGAGCCACCGTTGGGCATTCAAGTGACCGTCACACCGGAGACTTTAGTGTTTAACTCTACAACCAAAAGGGTCTCTTTTAAAGTGAGAGTCTCGACCACACACAAAATCAACACAGGTTACTACTTTGGAAGCTTGACTTGGAGTGACTCTGTGAACAGTGTCACCATTCCTCTATCTGTGAGAACTCAAATTATGCCCTACTACTACGATGAGAATTGAACAGAAAAAATAAAAAACTAACCATATGTGACTTATGAGTTTGTACTTATGTTTTGTGAATGCATTGCAGTGATTAAACATTAAATTTTGTGGAGCCTATAATTGAATGAGAGTGAAATTATCTTCGTTTTCAATATTGATGTCTTATAAAAAATGAATTAAAAACATACATGATATATTATCAGGAAGGCATAATGGGGCTCTGGCAAAACTAAAAAAAATCTAAAACGTCTTAGTAAATTTTTCTTTTTAAAATTTTTGCTTTTTATCCTAAAGAATTTTTTTTGAAATTAATAGTGGATCCATGATATTTGTCTAATCATGGGATAGAGACGAGCCTGAACACAAGTCTAAGGGAGGGTGTTATTGGTTCCTAATTTATAAAAAATCTTGATAACTTTAATAAAATCATAGAATGTAAACAAATGAAAGATTCTAAACTTTTTCTAGAGAGTAATCTATAATCTTGTTGATTAGTTAATTTTCATAATCTTGTAAAGTTTCCCAAATAATCTCTCTATTTTGATGATACTTTTCATGACTATATTTTGTGAAGAAAAGTGTAGAAAGTCATAAACCAATAACATTAATAATTTAATTCATTAACAATCATAGATTCTTTTGTTTTACTTGAATAACATAAAATTTTTATTGACTTTATAAAACTATGAATCCAATAACTCAGATTTATGAAGATTTTAGATTACTTTTTACAAATCTTAAACTAATAACACTAAACTCTATGAAAACTTATACAAGTCCCACATCGAAAAATGCAAAAACAATTAGGGTTACAGATATACAGAGAAGAGGCATGAAGTGTTGCCGAGGTTGGTAACGTAAGCTTGTAATCCGAGTGGTCGGTCCAAAAGAAAAACTTCAGCTTTCATGCACCACTAAATGATGAACAAAAAATAGATAAGAGAATGAAACCAAAAACCCTAGCCGCTTAAGAAGCTCTCTCCATCTGCATCTCCACATCGTCTCTAAATCTCGCATTAGCTGGGCATGTGACAATTCTTTGCTTAGTTTATTGTTAGACTAGGTTGTTTAGCCGCGACTATTGCGGCTTGTTGCATAATTGTTATGTTTTGTATAAACAATAAAAAAGGTTTTAAAAATATAAAAATAAGACAAAATTACATATTAAACAATATTTTCAATTATAAATATTGTTATCACATATATTTTACATTTTTACAACAATCCTAAAAAATAACTTTTATCTTTTTCTCTCTTTTTCATATTTCACATAATTTAAGTTATACTGATAGATTTTTATTTTTTTGACTACTAATTGGAATTACCAATTATATAACGGTTTTTTGGTAAATTTATTTTGCTGGAAAAATAATAATTTTAACTACAACCTTTTAGAAATAGATATACTGATATTTATATAATTATATGTTAGATCACAAAACTAAATATATTTACTATGATTATATTAAAACAAACGTAAGAAAAGAGGTTTCTTCTTACAAAATTTATTTCATTAAAAGATTACATAATTTTAGAAGATATATACAAGAATATGTAAGGAGATAATCAAAACTCCATAGTAGAGAATAAGAATGCTATCATTTCAAAAATAATTTAAAAATAATTACCATAATTTTTTTTCAAATAAGTATAATTAGAAGAAATTTAAATGGCTCTTACGATTTGATATCTTGCATTTGCTCATATTTTAGTAAATACATGTAATATATTACAAAATAAATTATTGATATAACTCACAAATAATTTTTTTGTTGGTTGATATAAACTCCCAAATAAAAGATCAAACTCATATTATTTTGTAAGTGACAAACTAAATTTGCTTTCTTATAAAATAATATGAACTTCAATCTAAAGTTTTTTTTAAAAGAAACCCAAGGATAGAAATAGGGGTGTCAAAAATATTTGATAAATTTATTAGAATAATTTATTTCATTATATATTGCATAACTAAAAAATTACATGAATATGTTAGAAAATAATTAAATATCCAACGTAAATAATGGAGATGGATTTTTTAACTTCTTTTCCTTGTTGTGTGATGATTAGTATTGATATTTTAACTTTCCATCACCAATAAACCTTAAAATTTTGTTAAAGCCATCAAAACTTTTATTTTACATATGTTAATTCAAAATTAAAGAAGAAATAGGTATAATCTAGTATGGTGTTAGGAACAAAAAAAATTGAGAAAAAAATAGAATCAAATTAATTCTTACAATAATGTTTTTATTGATTTTAACTCATATAACAAAAAAAAAAAGATACATGAATATAGTAGAAGAGGATGAGAGAATGATTACTTATAAGATGATAATCTAAAATAGACAATGAAGATGAATCTTTTAAAAAATCAAAAAACTAATGTAGAAATTAAAATTTAGAATTAAGCTTTTACAGTGATATTTAATTTGAGTTTTTTAACCTATAGAGAATGAGAGAATGAGAAAATGAGTATTTGTAGGATGAGAAGTGATAGGAGTTACAATTTGAAATAAATAAATATGGGAGTTACAATTCTAATTGATTGTGTGTTGAATGAAATTGAGTGGAGAATATAGTTAATGCATAATTTATATGATTTCAATTTTCTATTAAAGTTTAAGTTAAATGTTTATAATAAATGTATTTTATTTGTGGTTTCATTGAAAATGATTTTTTAAAAAATTATATTGCCAAGTAGACTAATCAAAAAAGAGTGAAACTTTACTGATTTGTGACATCCCAGCCCAAACCCAATAAGTGGGGTCATGTTGTTTTGCTCAATTTGGACTGAATGTCAGTAAAAGTCCAATAGCCTATTAGGTTTAAGAAGCCCTAGACTAGAATCCTTATAAATATAGTCTGACAAGAAGTGAAAGCAAACTTGATTTTGGACCGAAACTCAATTAAGAGGGTGTGTTAGTTTATAATTGAATTTGCAATATGTTATTTAATTTGGTAAAAGTCGTGACTTTAGTTTGAGCAGTTTATCCCAGTTTCAAAAGTCACAACGTTTAGTTAATCACCAAAAAAAAAAAAGTCACAACGTTTAGTTTGGTCGGTTATGTACTAAGATCTGTATATAAATATGTGTTTCTTGTCTTACTAAAATAACAAGTTTCAGATTCAATAAAAGGTTCTTTCGTTTAACTTTCTTCTTTAAAAAGAGAAGAAATAAAGAGATAATTATTATCTCTAACTCTGTTTCTCCATTTTCTCAATATTCAACAAAAATGAATTTCAATACGAAAATTCGCTGATATGAATAGAATAAAAATATATATTACATATTTTTTAATTCATACAGATTTCAGATTGTGGATAATATGACAATATATTTTGTAACTAAAACTATAATATATTTATTATCAATCATTTTATCCAGTACATAGTACCGGTAAACTACCTAGGCGGCATATCGTAATTTATAGCGACTAATTTTTGTAGGGTATGTAGAAGAAATAAGAGGGTTTCAGTCATCTACTTGTTTTTGTCGTTAAAGCAGCCTTATCAAATTGAAATTATCTAGCGTTCTTGATTATTCCAGTAAGTAGAAAATTTTATATAATAAAATTGATATAGTACTGTCATCGCAATTTTCTTCAAATTTCCAACAAATAATAAAACTGATATAGTACTGTTGTGTTCTTGGTTTCTAAGAGAACTTTTATTACAGACAGAGCCGTCCCTGGTATTTAATAGGCTGCAAGCAGAAAAAAAAATTTGGACCTATTTTAATGAATAAAAATATTTAAAAAAAAACTAAGGAAAATGAAGGTAGATGGACTTGAACCATTGAACTTTTGACGCTACATGGAAGCAAATAACCAACTTTGCTACTGAAAGTTTCTGAAAAATGTGGCCGAAATTAATTTATAATAAATAAGGCCGCAAGCATGGGCTTGGCCCGCTTGTATTCATGGCCGGCTCTGATTACAGAAAACGAAAGGCTAAAAACATTAGGAACATCCAAATCATATTAAATCAAGATTGCAAGATTCTTACATAATTATACATTAAGGAAATCAACTCATAACGGAAAGGAACTTGGCCAAGGGAGAATAAAAGAAAACTAATACGTAAATTTTTTGTTTCACTGACCTTTCATTTTTGGGTTTAAACGATCAATCTTCACTTTGCTCGCCAGAAATCTTGCTCCTTAATTAAGTTACCTTAATTTCGTATATATCAATTGCGCATTTTTTTGAGCAAATGTATATATCTGAAACTCCAAGCATCTTCAAGATGATAGAGGGCATGCAACGCAACTTACACGACCTGCAAAATGGGCGAGATATACTGTTATTGAGCACCACCTCGTATAATTTGAGATACTGTATTGTGCTTCCGGGCATGAGGCTTATAAATTCTCCGAGCACACATTCTGTATGCAAACTAGCCAGTTGATCTTTACACGTGTAGAACCATGTCTGTGGATTGGTTTCTTTTTCACAAATATCACACCAATATTTACCACTAGCCTTTTCACCGTAGCATAGTGAGAGAGGATGATCATCAACTCTATGCTTTACCACTTGTGGTAGAGTGGCACATTTGAAGTCCAAGTCAAATGTACAACCATCTTCAATGCAACTAAGCACACCGTATGCCCACATGTTGCAACCATTGCATAGTTTCTTTTCACTGGGTGAACTGTAATATAAGGAATGCTCGGGATGACTTGGATGGACAAATGGCTCAGAAATGGAAGTGCACAGGACATCAAAGCGGTTACCTTCATGGAGGTACCTGAAACCATTGCACAATCTATGACAAGCACAACAAAAAAAGTCAATGGCCTCGCTTGTAGCTAAAGTAAGTCGTTCATTGTGTAGCACGTGCCATTTCTTCTTAGGAAATTCAGCACAATTTTGGTGGAGGATGAAATCGCAATCCATACAGCCATAGAAGGATTGGAGATAGACGGGATGGGTGCATGCAGTACACCACTTCTTCTCCTCATATATACCACCATTAACGTGGAGTCTTAGGTAATGCTCTTTGTGGCTGAAATGTTGTATGGTATTGTCATCTATTACCACATATGGCTCTATATCTTCTATTTCTTCAGGTATTCCTTCTAGTTCTTTTCCGTTCCATACATCCTTTCTGGTAGCACATTTCGAATGAACGACGTAGCCAGGACATTTCTGACAAGAATAACCCCCACGAGTCCAATTTACCTTCTTGTGACAAACTCCACATACAGAATTCAAAACACCAAGAAGAGAAGTACGAAAAACACGGTGATTATGCCGATTGATGTTTATGAGCCGTGGCAGAGCAAGACAGTGTTGGTGGATCGTGAAATCGCATTGAACACATATGTAAGGGCTTCGATCTCCAATCAACCCGCACGCATTACAAGTAAAAGAGTCGAGTCTTGGCAGAAGGAAGAGTTGGTGATCATGAACTTTCAAATCCAGAAGAGATTGTGGCGTTGTGTTTAAAACACAACGCATATCCAAGCTAAAGTCACACGTTGAACAATGATAAAACAATTTATCTTCAATCTTTCTTCCACAAAGACGACATTTTCCATCAGAATAGCTTGGTGATTTTCCCATAAGGAGCTTAAGAGGGTGTAAAGAGTGGCAAGAGAGGTTTACCTCTAATGGATGTTTTACCTCCGCCGATTGCCATACACAATCTATGTGGAAGTTCAAATCACATTCATGACATTTGTAAGGAAATCCATTACCAATCTTGCCACATTTAGCACCACAGTTGAACTCGATCCGTTCCCTGAAAAGGGTAAGCTTGTGGTGATGCGCCTCGGAAACGTCAATAACCTCTGGTGGTGGGTACTTGGCACAATATAGATCCACGTCAAAATCACACATTTCACAATGATAGCATACATTCCTAATAAACCTTCCACATAAATCACAATAATGATGTGGTTTACTTAGAAGCTCAAGGGTGTGAGCTGAGTGAGATGGGAGTTTGATATATTTAGAGGACGTGGCACATTTCTTATGGACGAAACAATCACATCTTTTGCAAAAATAGCCATCACTGATAGCTTCCAAGCCTCCACAACAATCACCTCTCCTCAGATCATTCCAAGGCATCATAGCATGATCATGGAACAAGGGTAGTGACACATAGGACTCGCTACATATCTTGTGGATGAAAATATCGCACCTTTTGCTAGGCCTGGGCAAAATATTCGTTAGATCCGCTTCGACTCGGTATTCGTTTCGATTCGATTTGAAAAATCCGAATATCCGTAAAATTTTGGAGCAAATCAAATAGAAAAATGTAGTATTCGTAAAAACCGGAGCAAATAACAAATATTGATTTTTTTAAAGTCAAATATCCGCTTCGATCCGTATTTTTTTATATATTAGTATATATATATATATATATTTGGTAAGAAATTTATGATATACAGTATATGCATAGCATAATATATATTTTTGGCTTGTATTTGTAAACTCATTTTTTATCCTTTAAACCTGTGTTTGTAACACAATTTAATAATTTTTATTAGTGAAGTGGAATTTATTGGAAAAAAAAATTCAATATCCCTTAAAAATAAGAAGTTGGAATCCTGCGACAATTTCTTTTTCCCAAATTTTATCTTCTTCTTAGTAGTTTTACATGCAAGCGTTTAGTTTTTTAGGGTTTTAATAGGTGCAGAAATATCGAAGCGAATATCCGCAAATATCACAAAAAAAATCCGGATATTCGATTTTCCGAATATCCGGAAATTTTCGAATCAAAGCAAATCACAAAATCAAGTATTCGGTTGAGACGAATCGAATAACAAATATCCCAAAATTTCCGGATATCCGATTCGTGCCCAGGCCTACCTTTTGCAGTAGTAGCCATCACTGTTGGCTTCAAATTCCCCACAGCAATCACCTTGCCTCGGATCATTACAAGGCATCATAAGATGCTTGTGGATCAAGGGTAATGACACTTCCTTAGAGTCCATGGCCGTAAACAACGAGAGTGGGAAGAGAAAGAAAAGTGAGATCTGTGATGTCAAAGCTATTCTAATGCTCCTTTCATGTCTTTTTCTCTCTCCACTCAAAAGTCGTTGTTTATCGCAAAGATGCTCTAGTATATTTTTACAGATATATTAGTTTAGTATCGATCGTACTTTTGGTGGTCATTGAATAACAATAAAAATAACTATTATGGTTGATTACTTAAATGTTTATTGTTAGCACAGAAATCGACATTATAATTTGAAACTACTCTCGCTAGAAATAAATAATAAAACTATCTATTTGGCTATTTCTAATAATAAAACTACCTAGTGGAAATACCCAACCTAAAACTCAAAATGCATAATTAATACCAATACTAAAGATAAAAAAAAAATATAACATAACATAGATTAACAACTTAATAATTTGGTAATGCGTTTCCAGATCCATTAAGATGATTAAAATACTAGCCAAATGTTGATGAAATGTTTAATTTATATAAAATTTGTTGATTTATTAGTTTACTATAAAATAAATGGGGCAAAATTTATAAATTAGAAAGTAAAAGGTTTTGTTAATAATTAATAATGAAATACTTAGAATATTCTTTTTGAACTAGAAAATGAAGAAAACTATTGGAAAAGTTTTGCTTCGTTTTTCCTTTTTTTTTTGAAGAAACATCAATTTTGAAAAAATATTTGAACCCAACTATTGGAGATGCTCTGAATGGCAAAAATAGTCTATCCTTTTCTTAATAGATAAGAGATTAAGGTAATAACAAAATGTGAAAATTACCTAAAATAACTTTAATTATATTAGAAATTAGGTAGAGACCCGTATCATATACTGTATGATTAAATTGTTTGATATCAACTAAAAATTTCTTTTATTAAAATTAATATATTTTCTAGGACATTTACAAAAATACCTCTTTTCTTATGTCCTTTTTCAAAAATACCCCCTCATATTGTCCATTTTTCTAAAATATCATTTCTATGTACACAATAACGTTTTTACCTTTAATGAGAAGCTAGGATTTTGAAAGAAGATTCATTTTCTCTTTTTTTCCGCCTGTAACTATTGCGGCGGCGACGATTGGCGATTTTCGTCGCATTACGCATTTTTAACATTTTATACCTGTCCACCAAAACTTAACTTTTTATTTTCTCCAGTACAGTAAAAACAAAGACATTCAATTTCGTATAAACCATGGTCTTCATCTCTTTTTTTTTCAATAGTTGTCTAAATTAAATGATACAGTATAAGTTTTGGTGTTGTGGTAAATTGTGTAACAATTTATAATGTATGATTCTACAAAAAAAAGAGGCTGTACATGGTATCATGTTCTCTGCGTCAATGAGCTTCCCAAGTTGTGAATCCATCATTATCCACATATGCTATTCTTTGAAAGAGTTGGCTTCTTCTACTTCATCAAGATATCGCACCCGTTCTTGACCAAGTGTGAACATTTTTTGAGGTATCCTACTGTTCGGCCAAAATTGAACCTGAACTTAAAAAATGAAAGCATTATACTGTCTTCTCCATTTCCTCAATGAAAACATATATTTAAAAACAACTACTTGTTTTATAATATTCCTTAGTTCCAAAATATAGACAACCAATACAACTACAACTATTTTGAAACGTATAATAGTCGACTATATATTATACAGATATATGAAGATTGACAAACTATTTCGTAAATAATACTATATCACCGTACCATACAATAAAAAGTCTACATCGAATCATTAATAGTTGTCTATTCTCTGGAAAAAAACAATCTACTACCAAGTTGGCCTACCAAACTATAAGTATATATAATCTGGCTGCGATGTTTGTGTTTCAAATTTTAGGTTTGAACCGCCTTTTTTAGTTTTCTTCCAATGAGAAGACTATTTTAAATGTGTATACGTTATTGAATCAAATGGTCGTCTATGTTCGTTTCTCCAAATATTATTTGTTTTTTTGCCATAATTTGCGCGTGCCACATTTCTTGACATTCTTCCTATACCCATAATTCATCATTGGAGGTATAATAAATTAGAGGTTTAGTATCAAACAAAAATGCAATTTGAGTAAAGCTAAGAAGCTTAAGGAACATGGTTCTGACTTCTGAGATATGAACATTACAATTCATTCAATAAGCGAGAGCGGACTGGTTCAAGATATGTTATATTATATATCTCCAAGATTGGAGTCATTCAATAGTATACTTGTATTATAATAGCCAGGAAACTAGTCTGATCTTGGTAGAGATAATTGGAGTTACTTTATATTCAAAATTTAGTATTTTAAGTAATTTAGCCAAGAAATAATTTTAGTGTTATTAATATGATCATTTTTAATCTTAGTAGAGAAAAATTCATAGTTTCTTAACATTATAAACTAATTTAGCAAATAAAAACTACTTAAGTGTTCTTAATCTGACCAATTCTAATCTATGGTAGGTATGAAGTCATTTTCCCATTCTATTTCTCTGGTTTTTCTTAATGAGTATTTATCTATGGTAGAAAACTATTTAGATTTGCTTAATATATATTGCAAATCAGTATTAATATAAAATTTAGCCAAGAAATTAAACTACTTCAATGGTAACAATTTAGAGTTAGTACTTCAAATTCAATGTGTGAAGTAATTTAGCCAATCAACTCTTCTAGTGTTTTTTGATCTCTATTTTTTTTTGGACAATGTTTCTTAATATTGATGATGATGATGAGTCAAAAGGGAAATCAATATTACTTCAATGTATAAAGTAATTTAGTAAAGAAACTTGTCTAGTGTTCATAATCTGACTAATTCTAATCTAGTCATTTAGCCAAGATATCAATTCCAAAATTAAAAGAAAAAAAAAACTAACCAAGAAACTATTCAGAATTAGTATTTAAAACTCGATGTTTTTGAAGTAGTTTAGCCGAAGAAAATATTCTAGTGTTCTTAACCTAATCAGTTTTATTCTCAGTAGAGAAGTATTCAAAGTTGCTTAATATTTTTGAATTTAGTGTTTGAATTAATTTAACTTAGATACAACTCTAGTGTTCTTATTTTGATCAGTTCTAATGTTATTAGAGAACAACTCAAAGCTGCTTAATATTGAAAATTCAATGTTTGAAAATAATTATAGATCATTTTTAATTTGAACTATGTCAAGATTAAAACCTTGACTCTCAAAAACAAAGCAACCACATGGTTGTAGAAGGAGTCGTCCTCGAATGTTAGATCTTATATAAAGCCTTTGTTTCATTGATAATCTTAAACATTGAAACATTGATCTCTTTCTCCTTTCAAAAGAGAAAAATGAGCAAAACCATAATTCTTCTGGCGTTATTTCTGTCTATAGTTCTCAATGTGCAGAACAGTTTCGTCGTCGCTGAGAGCAAGGTAATTGGTATTTATGAGAGGTCTCTATTGATCAGGGCAACATTAGCATTGACTATTTTTTTTGCTTTGTGATCAAATAGGTTTATATAGTTTACTTGGGAGAGAAGGAACATGACAATCCTGAGTCTGTCACAGAATCTCACCATCAAATTTTGTGGTCACTTCTTGGAAGGTATCATTTAGTACTTCTATATAGGAACTTTTGGAAGACATATAGATATGTAGAAATATCGCAGATAGTTTACTTTCTTGATTTTCATGTCACAGCAAAGAGGCTGTCCTTGATTCAATAGTGTACAGTTATCGACACGGCTTTTCAGGCTTTGCAGCCAAACTGACTGATTCCCAAGCCCAGCAAATTTCTGGTACTTTTAGAGTTGAAATCTTCTCTGTTTCTTGACTTTTAGACTTAAACCAAGTATTTATTTTTCTGAACAAATCAATGCCCTCTCTTGAGAACAGAACTGCCTGAAGTAGTGCAAGTCATACCAAATACATTATACGAAATGACAACAACAAGAACTTGGGATTACTTAGGCATATCTCCAGGAAATTCAGATAGTCTCCTACAAAAGGCCAACATGGGGTACCAAGTAATCGTTGGAGTCCTCGACACAGGTATGTGCATATCGAAAATATGTTTGATTTTCTTAAAGACAAGTTTACTAATAGAAAGCATAAATTATGATTACAGGAGTGTGGCCAGAGTCTGAAATGTTTAATGACAAAGGCTATGGACCAATACCAAGCCGATGGAAAGGCGGTTGCGAATCTGGAGACCTCTTCAACGGCTCGATTCATTGCAACAGAAAGCTGATAGGAGCAAAATACTTTGTTGATGCCAACAATGCTGAATTTGGAGTCTTGAACAAAACAGAGAACCCTGACTACCTTTCCCCAAGAGACATTAACGGTCATGGCACGCATGTTGCCTCGACCATCGGTGGTTCTTTTCTGCCCAATGTAAGCTACTTAGGCCTCGGACGAGGAACTGCAAGAGGCGGTGCTCCAGGTGTTCATATAGCTGTTTATAAGGTTTGCTGGCTTCAAAGAGGGTGTTCTGGAGCTGATGTCTTAAAAGCAATGGATGAAGCTATCCATGATGGTGTTGATATTTTGTCACTCTCTTTGCAAACTAGTGTTCCTTTATATCCAGAAACCGATTCGAGGGAGCTTACTTCTGTGGGAGCATTTCATGCGGTCGCAAAGGGAATTCCTGTTGTAGCTGCAGCTGGTAATGCTGGCCCGACGGCTCAGACCATTTCGAATGTAGCTCCTTGGGTCTTGACAGTGGCTGCAACCACTCAAGACCGTTCCTTTCCTACAGCCATTACACTTGGGAACAATATAACAATACTGGTATACATCTTATCCATGACAATGACAATAAAACTGTAAGACACTGTTTTTTTTTGTAATAAAAATCTAAACCTATGTGCTTAATGTAGGGTCAAGCCATCTTTGCCGGTCCAGAACTCGGTTTTGTTAGTCTTACTTACCCAGAGTTTTCCGGGTAACATTGAATTACATCATATTATATGTTTTGATCATTTGCTTGTTGAAGACGTTAAGCCCGCGATATTGCGACTTTGGACATGATATATCCTTCAATTTGCAGTGACTGCGAGAAGCTCTCTTCTAATCCCAACAGTGCAATGCAAGGAAAAGTTGTGTTGTGTTTCACAGCATCAAAACCATCAAGTGCTGCTATAACCACAGTACGCAATGCCGGTGGTCTCGGGTTAATCATTGCAAGAAATCCGACCCACTTGCTTAGTCCAACTCGTAACTTTCCATATGTTTCCGTAGACTTCGAGCTCGGGACCGACATTTTGTACTATATACGCTCCACAAGGTATATTTTCAAAATGATCACAATCTCTTTAACAAACACGTTCAACTGAACATATTGGGTTTTGTTTTTTTTTTCTAGATCTCCCATTGTAAACATACAGGCTTCAAGAACATTTTTTGGACAATCCGTGTCGACAAAGGTAGCAACTTTCTCATCAAGAGGACCTAATTCAGTCTCTCCAGCGATTCTTAAGGTAGATCATACCATTTCATATATTTCTAACCTCTTAAGATTCTCTGTTTTGTAACCGCTTCTCGGTTTTATAACCGCTTCTCTGTTATGGCAGCCGGATATAGCAGCACCTGGTGTGAACATACTAGCAGCTATTTCTCCAAATAGTTCTATAAATGATGGAGGATTTGCTATGATGTCAGGGACATCAATGGCTACTCCTGTTGTGTCAGGAGTTGTTGTGCTCCTCAAATCATTACATCCTGATTGGTCTCCTTCTGCTATCAAATCAGCTATTGTTACCACAGGTTCTTATCATCATCAAAATGTAGTTATAACAGTTTTATCATCACAATAAATTATTAATCCGAAGGAACACATTTTAACATTGTAGCTTGGAGAACTGATCCATCTGGAGAGCCGATTTTCGCAGACGGGTCAAGCCGCAAACTAGCAGATCCATTTGATTACGGAGGAGGCCTCATAAATCCCGAGAAAGCTGTAAAGCCAGGTCTCATATACGACATGACCACAGATGACTACGTTATGTACATGTGCTCTGTTGATTACAGTGACATTTCAATTTCTCGAGTCCTCGGAAAAACAACAGTCTGTCCTAATCCCAAACCTTCTGTTCTTGATCTCAACTTGCCTTCCATCACAATCCCAAACCTCAGAGGCGAAGTCACTCTCACAAGAACCGTCACTAACGTTGGACCCGTTAACTCAGTCTACAAGGTTGTAATCGATCCTCCAACTGGCGTTAATGTGGCTGTTACGCCAACTGAACTAGTGTTCGACTCTACAACTACAAAGCGATCTTTCACTGTTCGGGTCTCGACTACACACAAAGTAAACACTGGTTACTATTTTGGAAGCTTGACTTGGACTGATAATCTTCACAATGTAGCTATCCCAGTATCTGTAAGAACACAAATCTTGCAACGATACTATGACGAAAACTGATTTAAGCCAAAAACCAGATTTGTTAAGGAGAACTGCTCAAATACTTTTTACTATATATATTGTTGTGTTCAAGAAATATGTAAAGCATCATGCTGATGAATAATAATATTATCTAAGTTGTGTTATATTGATTTGTTGACGAATATGTAAAGCATCATACTGATAAATAATACTATTATCTAAACTGAATCTTGTTAAAATACTTTAGTTTATCGACTGATATTCACGGATGATGTGCGTTTGAGCAAATGACTTCTTGCTGGTTTTAGGCCAGTAAATCCTCGATGATCAAGAATCACTACTAGGGATGTTAAAAATGGTTTTCTAATCTAGGAATATTGCATGAATGTAAACAGAAAGTTAGAAACTGTAGAATGTTTTTTTCTTTTCGGCCTTTAGCTTATAATCTCCCTCAGTACCGGAGCATGCGTCGTCAGTGCATTCGGATTTAAAGAATGTCTCTCTGTCCCAAAGAGAGTTTGAACCAGGCCACAAGATAACCAACCCCCTTGTACTAACTAGGCCACCACCCTTTGTTAACTACAGAAAGTTTCAATAACATACCTAATGAAAAAAATCTGAAAAGTAGGGATTGGAGGAAATTTGGCGATAAGAATACAAAAGTAGATTATTCATCATTATTAATCATCAACGTTACATAAAGTTAAATAGTTTGATACATACAAGTATATAGTATAAGTACAATTTCACGAAAGGTTAAGTCTTTATAGGTTCAGTTTTCATCATAGTAGTTCTGCAAGAGTTGAGTTCTCACAGAGAGAGGAATGGTGACATTATGTAGAGAGTCACTCCAAGTCAAGCTTCCAAAGAAGTAACCTGTATTGATTTTGTGTTTGGTCGAGACTCTCACTTTAAAAGACACCCTTTTGGTTGTAGAGTTAAATACTAGAGTCTCTGGCGTCACAGTCACTTGAACGCCTATTGGTGGCTCAATCACTACTTTATAGACCGACTCAACTGGTCCAACGTTAGTGAGGGTTCTAGTAATAGTGACTTCTTCTTTGAGATTTGGGATTGTGATGGAAGGTAAGTTGAAATCAAGAACAGATGGTTTCGGATTCGAGCAGATGGTTCCTTTCCCGACAAGTTGAGAGATTGATGTCTCGTTGTAACCAACAGAGCACATGTAGAGAACATAGTCTTCAAGTCCCAAGTCATATACAAGACCAGGTTTTGAAGCTTTCTCTGGATTTACAAGGCCTCCACCATAGTCGAACGGATCAGCTAGCTTCCGAGGTGACCCTTCCGCAAATATATGCTCTCCAAATGGATCAGTTCTCCAAGCTACAGAGTCAAGACAATTATCAAGATCAGTATGTTCTTGTTTTTTTCTAGCAATGGAAGAAGAAGTTAATAACCTGTAGTGACAATGGCTGATCTAATGGCAGCAGGAGACCAATCACGATGCAGAGCTTTAAGAAGTGCAACAACTCCTGAAATCACCGGAGCCGCCATTGATGTTCCTGACGCCATAATGAATCCTCGGTCGTTGAAAGTTTTATTGGTTGATGTAGCCGCCAATATGCTCACTCCTGGTGCTGCTATATCCGGCTGCATTGTAACATTCACATGATTATAAACATCTTGAGGCAAAATAATCTAATGTCTGAAAAACTGAACATACTTTTTTTTTTTAACAAAAACAAAAAAAAAAAACAAACAGAACATACTTTGAGGATGGCAGGCTCAATTGAATTAGGTCCTCTTGATGAGAAATCTGCAACCTTTGTACCTACTGGTTGTCCAACAAGTGTTTTAGAAGGTTGTATCTTCACAACAGGTGATCTGAAAATTACAAGTCCACAATTAGTGGTGTGTTGATTATATTTTTTTTTTCATAGTTCATATTTTCATTTACCCTGTGGAACGTATGTAGAAAAGTATATCTGTCCCGAGCTCGTAGTCAACAGCAACACAAGGGAAATCATCTTCACATGGTGAGAGATTGTCGCCGGGGTTTCTTGCGACTATTACGCCAAGGCCACCGGCTTCCTTGACATAAGACACAGCATTTGATACAGTGGTGTAACGTTTTGATGTTGTGAAGCACAACACGACTTTCCCGGCCATTGTACGATTGGAATTGAAGAATAGAAGCTCACAGTCACTGCAGAGAATGTAATGTCAGAGAAATAATGTCATCCATATAGAAAAGATTTGGTCCTAATGAGAAACTAAAGATTTGATCTTACCCAAAAAAACTTTCGTTGCTGTTCCCTGGATTCTCTGGGTAAACCAAGTTAGTGAAGCCAAGTTCTGGACCTGTGTACATTGCTTGACCCTGTAATACAATTACCAGACTCACAATAAGACACATCTCATCAAACATTTTGTTGTGAAAACATTATGGTATATATATATTGTTACCAATATCACTTTATTGTTCCCAAGTGTGATAGGTGTGGGAAAAGACCGGTCTAAAGTAGTTGCAGCCACTGTCAATATCCAAGGAGCCGTGTTTCCGACAGTCTGAGCTGCTGGACCAGAGTTACCTCCTGAACAAACAACAGTGATACCCTTTAAAACAGCATGGAAAGCTCCTGTAGCTATCACGGCGCGAGCATCAGTTTCTGAGAAGTAAGGAAGACGATAGCCGATAGACAAGGACAAAACATCAACACCATCATGCATAGCTTCATCCATAGCTTTCAAGAGGTCAGCAGATGAACAAGTCGTTATGTCTAAGTTATCTAGATACCAACAAGCTTTGTACATCGCTATACGAGCACGTAGTGCCCCGCCTCTCACTGTCCCTCCTGCTAGGCCCTTGTAGCTTATGTTTGGCAAGGGCGAACCACCCGCTATGGTAGCGACGTGTGTGCCATGTCCGCTATGGTCTCTAGGGGAAATGAAGTCAAGTGATTCCGTGGAGTTGAACCTTTCGTGCGTCGCAAGAAAACCGTTGATGAAGTATTTGGCTCCTATGAGCTTTTTGTTGCAGTGAGAGGAAGTGAAATTTTCTCCTGATTCACAGCCTCCTTTCCAGTGGCTTGGCACCGGGCCAATCCCATTGTCATTAAAGACTTCAGATTCTGGCCAAACTCCTGCAACCTCAGAAAATGATTTATTATTTGAGATGCTAAGTTAAAGGAAACAAAAGCAACAAGAGATTAAAAAACATTGTAGGAAGAAAAATTTGCACAAATATGCACTCATACCTGAGTCTACAACGCCAATGATAACTTCTTCACCCATATTAGTGTCATTTAGAAGATTTTTCGGATTGGCGACGGAAAGGCCTAAGTAGTCCCAAGTCCGAGTTGTTTCTAGTTCGTAGAAACTATCCGGGGTGACATGGACAACTTCAGGTAAATCTGTTGTCAAAGAGGATAAGCAATGAAAATGATTTCACATGAAAATGTCAAAGAGGGTTGTTGAGACAAATGAAAATGTCATGTAAAATATTTGTCCTATGTTTCCTTTAGCCAAGAAAAGATAAGATTTAAAAACTATGTACCTGCAATCTTCTTGGCTTGGGGCTTGGTAAGCTTAGCCGCAAAACCTGAGAAGCCATGTCGGTAACTGTGAACCATTGAATTATGGGCATCCTCTTTACTGTTTGACATGGAACAAAAGGCAAGAAATAAGTAACATTTTGAGAAATAATAATACTTGATAAAGAGAAAACTACCCTTAAATACCTTCCAAGAAGTGACCACAACATCCGATGATGAGATTCCGTGACAAACTCGGGATCGTCATGTTGCTTCTCACCCAAATAAACTATGTGAACCTATTGAAACAGAACCAACTTTGTTAGCTATTTATGTTACTGGTAAAAGAATGGCCTTATATAAATATCAAGTACCTTGCTCTCAACACCGGCTTGTACCACGAAAGTACTCAGCCCGTTGATAATTATAATTACACTTAGTACCGCAAAAACTGAGGTTCTGCAACTCTTCATTCCAAGAAGAAAAGGGTTAACCATTTTTTAATCTCAAGCCACAAAGATGTAATATAATTTGGAGTCTAATATCGAAGAAACTTAAGCATTTATATAGATTTCTACTCAAGAAGAGTTTGACCAAGAATGTTTCCATTACTTGGAATTGTTCTGACTTTTGCTAGTTTGAATCTCTTTAGTTTCATCATCATATATAGTCAGAATGTAAAACCCACACACATTAATCTAAAGAATATATCAAACTGTGTTGCTTATTCAACTAAACTCTAGTTTATTACAAATGGAGCAAACACACCGATCAATAGATTGATGACATATACCAACAAGTAATTGTAAACATTGCAAGCAATGGATGTAACAAACACATTAATCAACAGAGCAATCGAATGATTTACTTGGTAATATGCTGCAAAAGGATTGCTTTTACACTCCTATACCATAAACTCAAGTGTTCATGCTCAGACAAGCTTGCTTTGCTACTTGACTACTTCTGTCGGAAAAATTTAAACTTGAGGTTTAAGCAAGCTGGAATTAGTATGAGTTTTGACCAAAGAAAAGGCAGATTCCTTAGCTAAGTTTAGAGTTTTACTTGGTAAGCTCCATGCTGATTCTTTAGCTCTATAGAAATCAGAAAAAGTCTCTGGTGTTAAAAGTTTGGTCAAAGTTAATTTCAGAACAAGATCCGAGCTTTGTCAAATCTCAGTTTCTTAGCAAATGTTGAGGCAACTGAGGCAATTTTTGGGAGTTTTCCCTTCTTTAATTAAAGTTTACAAAGAGTCAAACAGTTCAATACATACATGTATTACAGTATAAGTACAAGCACACAAATGGTTAGTCATTTTAATAGGTTTAATTTTCATCATAATAGTTCTGCAGAATTTGCGTTCTCACAGACAAAGGAATGGTGACATTGTGCACAGAGTCACTCCACGTCAAGCTTCCAAAGTAGAAACCTGTATTGATTTTGTGTTTGGTTGAGACTTTAACTTTAAAAGAGACCTTTTTGGTCATAGCGTTGAACACTAGTGTCTCCGGTGTCACGGTCACTTGAAAACCCAATGGTGGCTCCACCGCAACTTTATAGACCGATTTGAGTGGTCCAACGTTAGTGAGGGTTCTGGTGAGAGTCACTTCATCTTTGAGATTTGGGATTGTGATGGAAGGCAAGTTGAAATCAAGAATAGATGGTTTGGGATTTGAACAGACTGTTCTTTTACCAACGAGCTGAGAGATTGATGTCTCGTTGTAACCAACAGAGCACAAGTAGAGAATATAGTCTTCAAGTCCCAAGTCATATACAAGACCTGGATTTGCAGCTTTCTCTGGATTCACAAGGCCTCCACCGTAGTCGAACGGATCAGCTAGCTTCGGAGGTGACCCTTCAGCAAATATCTGCTCTCCAAATGGATCGGTTCTCCAAGCTGTCGAAAATAAATGCTTACCGAGATTAGAATGTTCTTGCGGAGCTAACTTGATTCATTATATGAAGAAGATAAAAACCTGTAGTGACAATGGCTGATCTAATGGCAGCAGGAGACCAATCACGGTGCAGAGCTTTGAGAAGTGCAACAACTCCTGATATTGCAGGAGCTGCCATTGATGTTCCTGACAGCATAATGAACCCTCGGTCGCTGAAACTGGTGTTGGTTGTAGCTGCCAATATGCTCACTCCTGGTGCTGCTATATCCGGCTGCATTCATATGATTGATAAAACCTTATGCAAGAAAATTTAATGGGTCTAAAAAGAAATAAACAAGCAAGGATTCTGTACTTTGAGAATCGCAGGGGCGATCGAATTAGGCCCTCTTGATGAGAACGTTGCCACTTTTGTACCCACTGGTTGTCCGATGAGTGTTTTAGAAGGTTGTATCTTCACCACAGGCGATCTGCAAACCAAATGAGCGAAACTTAGTCTCAGTAATATTTTCATTCATACAAACGGTTGCATTCATTGTACAAACGGTTCTGTTGATGAATATAATTTTACATTCATACAAAAAAGAAAAAGAAATATTTTCATACCCACTGGACCGTGTGTAGAGAAGTATATCAGTCCCAAGCACCCAGTCCACAGCAACACAAGGGAAATCATCTAGACATGGTCGGATAGCGTAGCCTGGGTGTCTTGCGATGATTACACCGAGACCACCGGCTCTCTTCACATAACGTGCAGCCCTTGATACAGCACCACCGTAAGGTGATGTTGTGAAACACAACACAACTTTCCCCTCCATTGTACGATTAGAATTGAAGAATAGCTCCTCACAAGTACTGCATTACATGAACCATGGTGATGTCAGAGAATTGATCTTCTTCATATATATTGCAAGAAACTAGAAATATAACATTACCCAGAAAAACTTTCGTTGCTATTCCCTGGATTCTCCGGATAAACCAAGCTAGTGAAGCCAAGTTCTGGACCTGTGTACATTGCTTGACCCTGCAATATAGTGACCAGACTCACAATAAGACACAAATGTAATCTAAGTAGAACAATTAATAAAGAGGATATATCTTGTTGTTACCAATATCGCTTTATTATTCCCAAGTGTAAGAGGTGTGGGAAAGGACCGGTCTAGAGTAGTTGCAGCCACAGTCACCATCCAAGGAGCTGTGTTTGTCACGGTAAGAGAGTCTGGGCCAGAGTTACCACCGGAACAAACAACAGTGATACCCTTTAAGACTGCATGGAATGCTCCAGTAGTCATCCCATCGCGAATATCAGTTTCGTCAGACAAAGGAACTTCAGAGCCTAGAGAGATTGACAGAACATCAACACCATCATGCATAGCCTCGTCCATAGCTTTCAAGATGTCAGCAGATGAACAAGTCGTTATGTCTGCATCATCAAGATACCAACAAGCCTTGTACATCGCTATACGAGCACGAGGTGCCCCACCTCTCACAGTCCCTCCTGCTAGACCCTTGTAACTAATGTTGGGCACGTATGAACCGCCCGAAATGGTGGAAACATGCGTGCCATGACCATCAAAGTCTCGAGGGGAAATGAAATCAAGTGAGTCTGTGGAGTTGAAGCTTTCGTTCTCTGCTTGAAAACCACTGATGAAATACTTTGCTCCGATGAGCTTTTTATTGCAGTTAGAGGAAGTGAAATTCTCTCCCGACTCACAGCTTCCTTTCCAGTGGCTTGGCACAGGCCCGAACCCATTGTCATTAAATACTTCAGATTCAGGCCATACTCCTGCAACCACCACAGACAACATTTTAATCATAGAGGCACTAAGAAGAGGAATCAAAAGAAGCACAAGACTTAAGAAGTATACTACACAATAAGCAGAGAATTAATGTACAAATAAAGATTCATACCCGTGTCTATAACACCGATGATACTGTGTTCACCCATATTAGTTTCATGTAGAAGACTCTTTGGATTGGCAGCAGAAAGGCCTAGGTAATCCCAAGTTCGAGTTGTTGCCAACTTATAGACACTATCCGGTACGACATGGACAACATCAGGTAAATCTGTTGACAAAGAGCATTAGCAATGAAAAAAGAAATCAGATAGGCTTGTTAAGACAATCAAGATTTCATGTAAGAAAATGTGAGAAGAAGAATGAGTACCCGCTATCTTCTTGGCTTGGGACTTGGTAAGCTTAGCCGCAAAACCTGAGAAGCCATGTCGGTAACTGTGAACCATTGACTTATGGGCATCCTCTTTACTGTTTAACATGGAACAAAAGACAAGAAATCTGAGTAACATTTTGAGACATTATTAAACTTGAAAAAGAGAAAACTACCCTTTACATACCTTCCAAGAAGTGACCACAACATCCGATGATGAGATTCCGTGACAAACTCGGGATCATCATGTTGCTTCTCACCCAAATACACTATATGAACCTATTATTGATGATCAAAAACAGAACCAAGAAACTATGTTAGTCTCTCTTTATGTTGTCTAATAAAACAATATTTACCTTGTATAACTCTTTAGTACCTTCTTCTTAGCTTCTGCCACAAAACTTCTCTGCACATTGAGAAATATTACCAAACTTAATACCACAAAAATTGATGTTCTATAATTCCTCATTCTAATCACAAAGTCAAAGAGATATGTAATACTAATGAAGGAGATTAAACATTTATATAGAATCTCGTAAAGACGTGATAAGGCCAAGAATGTTTCCATTTCTTGAATTGTTCTTAGTTTTATAATTAAATCCCAGTTGTTAATAACAGACATAATTCTAAAGAATATATCAAACACTGTTTGGCTTAGTCAAATAATGTCTTGTTTATTGCATTGTATGTAATAAAAACACATCAAACAGAGAAAATGAGATGGATGATTAATAACTTTAACAAGTAAAACCTTCCTAAGGTATGATTCCTTCTCAATGTTACTTCTTTGGTCAAAAAGATTGCTTCGTTGGCTAATTTCAGAGGTTTTACTTGGTGCTGTTTCTTTAGAAAAAGTCTCTGTTGTTCCAAGCTAATCTTATATTTCTTAACCGGAACTTCATTTTTAAAACGGAAAGTAGACGGCGAGAACCAGAGAGGATTCGAGAAATTCTCTGAAAATGAAGAGAAGAAGAAGAAGAGTCGCAGAGACTTGTGGAGAATGTTTGTTTAGTGAACGAGAGCTTATTGGGTTTGGGCTTCTAGAATTGATAATGGGCTTTTTATGATCCATTTGTAGACACACGATAGTATTGGACATCTCAGTGGTTGACTAATCAATACAACAAAATCTCTTACTAATAAAAGATGTTAGTTGAGGCTTCTAAAGCTAGCCACATCAGCTTAAAAGAGACTTCCTAATATCATGCCACCTCAGCATGTCAAGACTTTAATTTCTCAAAAATTCATCTCCACTTCAATCTTCAATCTCTTCGTCTCCTCTGTTGCAAAATCATTATTATCACAAAATTCAATGCAATCCACGATCTACCCCTTCCACTTCTATCGTAATCGTTTCATTTGCACTATATTTAAAGTTGGATGGTTTGGGCACCAACCAAATCAGAAGAAGATGTGAAACTAAGGAGATCTTTGTGAAAGAGTGAGCACACCTCGAGGTAAGTGAGACACGTGAACGAGAAAGTGAGAAAACAGCGTTTGTTTGCATATCTTTAACCTTTGGCGGTGAAGATGCCTAACAAAGGCAGCAGCAAGGAAAACTGGGATGAAGTAAACATAGGCGTCAAGCTGTCGACGGAGGTGGTGTGGTGTCTACTGATAAAAAGGTTTGAATTCTGTTTACTTTTAGCTAAATTTCTTCTTAAATCAACTTATTTTCTCCCAGTTAAATCATCCATGGCCCATACACTCGGAGTCACTTTTTCCTATAAATTAACAACCAAAAACCTATTTTCAATATCCCTCCATGATTGGTTTGTTATCTTACGTTCTTCATTTGTTTCTACTAGCAAACCATATTTTAACATTTTCAATAGTGGATGTGTTTGTGTTTGTGTATGATGATGATGATGATGCTGATTAAGTTTGGTCTGAATCTGTGATTTAATGATTTAGGTATCATTAGATGCAGCCAAATTTAAAAGAAATGGGCTGCTTCAACTTATCCTCAGAAGATGTTGAGGAGTTATCTTGAGCGTTACAAGTCTGTAACTTCTTTATATCTACGGAAGCATTTGTCGAAAACAATCACTTTCTTACTCTGTTCATAACAAGATATCACATATGATTATGCTCCTCTGATCATTTAGTGGTCTGCATTGTAGAAGCACTTGAACATGTAATCTCTTTGTCTCTTTCGAAATCTGAATCAGTGATTTGATGATTTAGGTATCATTAGATGCAGCCAAAGTTATCAATGTCACACCTCGATATGCCCAGCTACAAACCGGATTCAATGGCTCAGCCAAAGCAGATGTAATTGGATGGTAGAATAAGAACTCTCAGTGACCGACCTCTCGAAACCATGCTCAAAGAGTTCGAGCAATTGAAAAAAGAGTACCCTGATTGGATTCTGGTTGCTACAATCATGGAGGAATACAACAAAACAGCTTAAGAAAAGCTCACCGACCGTGTCGAGCAAACTGGTGTTGTGAGTTTTCCACAAAACTTGGAATATTCTTCTTCCTTGTCATCCTCTTTCACTTGGTCCAATATTAGTAAGAGATGTTGATTCTTCACAATAATATTTTCGAATTATTTTAGTACAAATAAGAATTAATTACTTTTTAATGTTCAAACTTTTCTTCATCACATTGCTTCAAATCTTAACCGTACCAGTGTACCACTTGATAAACGTTGCATAAGGCTACAAGTATAAGTTTTTGTTTGTTAAAATATTGCCCATCAGCGACCATTTTGTTAGAATAAAGAGCCAATCATCTTTCAAAACAATGCTAACAAGCTGCCATGAATTTTGTTAAAATCATCTCAGTTTCTCATGTAAATATTTCCCATATAAAAAAGCTATATAGATTAAAACAAGAAGGAGAACAACAATTGGAAAAGAAATTATGCAAGAGATATAGATTGAAAATACTAAATAGACCAATATAGGATCACATGAATTAAAAAATTTAAGAATAAATAACAGTGAAAAATTTATAAATAGATAAAATTAAACAATAAATTGTGTCATATGTTTTCTCTGTTAAAATGCTAAATATAGGATCACATGATTTTTCGCATATATAATCAAAAAATTAAATCTTCCCTTTTCTCACCAAAAAAAAAAAAATATTAAAAAAATTAAAACGAATTTAAAATTAAATTAGCTAACTTAAAAATATCAATTGTCAAATATATACCCGGGCGTAGCCCGGATTAACCCCTAGTACAAAGTTAATAATAGTTTTTACAACTAGAGCAATCTCCATCAAAATATCAGGAAGGTAAGAATACAATACGACGAACAATATATTGATCCAGACCACTTCAAAAATATTTTGTATGGGCAACGCTTCTCGCAATAGCAGCAAATAGGTCGAGTCATATGATGATTATTAGACAGAACGTCTACCTTTTTCTCTAAATAAAACGAAGATGAACCAGGCTTCATGTATAAGTCCCACCCAAGCAGACAATTAATGTGTAGGGTGAGACAACAGTACTCATCACACACATAAAACCGCTTTGTTGGATCTATTGTTTCCTCGCAAATTTCGCACCAATACGTCATGGTACTTGTCTCTTCCCCATAAGAAAGAGTGAGCACATGCTTATCATGCTTATACCTCACCTTTTGAGGTAAAGTAGCACATACAAAACATAAAGCAAAGTCACACTCAATGCAATTGAATGTTTCATTTGTCCTAGCATACCTGCTCTCTTTGCAAACCGAACATGTCCGTGGCTCCTCTTCTGGTTTGGATGTTAGGAATAAAGGATGCATATGACTTTCATGTACTAATGGCTCAGATATTGTGGCGAACTGCACGGGTAGCTTGAAATCACATCCTTCTTTACCACACTCGTAGAAGAAACCAGCTGTCCACAACGAAGGGTAAGCTGCACACATAACCTCATGGTCCACAATATTGTCATATCCTAGACTGAGCATATGTGGATGTATAGGATGGTATATTTGGCGAGAAAGATTTGCACATTCTTCGTGGAGAATGAAATCACATTGCATACATGAGTAGAAGTTACCAAAATAGATTGGCCTGATGCATGCTTGACACTCCTTGTTCTCATCATAATCTCTATTTGTGTTATCATCAAGTCTCAAATAATGATGTTGATGACTAAAATGTTGTATGATTCCATCGCTTATCTTGACAAATGGCTCAAGTTCTTCAATTTCTTCTTCTTGCTCTCCCTCAAGTTCTTTACCATCCCACACATTTCTTTGTGTAGCACATTTTGAATGTGCTGCATACGAACAACCGTCCTTGATGCAAGAATAGCCCCCGTAATCATTGTCGATGTTTCTTTGACAAACACCACAAGACAATCTTCCTTGGTCAAAAGAAGAGGTAAAAGAGATACGATGGTGATGCCGTGAGATCCTTATGACATGTGGTAAGTCGATACATCTTAGATGGACCACAAAGTCACAAGGGGGACACATATAGAGAGGGGAGTTTGAATCAGCCAATGCGCAGAGGTTGCAAGTTAAGAAAGCGTGTCTTGGAAACAAAGCAAGAGTATGCTCATGCCACTTCGGATGGTCTATAGATAAAACCGGTGGTTTCTTCGCACAAGCCATATTCATAGCAAAATCGCAGGACAAGCAACAATAAATTACCATTTGAAGATCTTCATCACAACAATAACATTTCCTCTCTTTACCTTCACTGAAAAAGACAAGCTGGAGAGAATGTTTTCGATGGAGATGGTATTTGATCTCATCTCTAGCCTGTTCATATTCGTCATGGTTCTTGCCGTTGCATCCTCTACAGCCAAAATAAGTAGTGTCTTCTCCTTTAAACTTGAATTTCACCCAGTTTCCAGGGAGACAATGCCACTTGCCCCTCGGCGGGAAATATTCACTCACATGAAATTTTCCTTTTTTCAATTCTACACGTACTTGAGGACACAAGGAGATAAACTTCCCCCACTTTGAATTGATAGAGCTGACGATGGAGAAGATTTGATAAACAACGGACACGAGTTCTGGCTCCGGCTCACCAAATAATGTTTCACATAGAGGTCTATCGAGGTCCCACTCCAGCTTCCTATCCGAATCCGAATCCGTAGAGATTATTTGAGAAAGAAGTGATATGAGCTCCGACAGCGGCGACACCTCGGGATCCAAATCCATAGAGTAAAAGACAGAGAATGCTTGAGTAATGAGTGACATGAACTCCGACTCCGGCTTCTGCTGCGAATGCAAATCCATTGAGCTGACCAGAGAGATTATTTGAGTAATGAGTGATATGACCTCCGAATCTGTAACTGAATACCATTTCCAATACAGAATCTTGGTAAGACTTATTAGTTGATAAATGAGTGATATGAGCTCTAACTCTGCATCCATAGTGTTGCCGAGAGAAAATTGTATCTGAGTAATATGAGAATTTTTTTTTTTTTTTGCCAAAGCATTGAACGATCAGCTTTGACACTTATTGCTCTCCCTCCACATGGGTTCTCACACTTTTCTATATTACCCATAACCTGCGGATCTTGCTTTAAACATTATTTAATATATAACAAGATAAGATTCAGATGCACCGATCAGATCATGTGTAGATTACAATGAAACATACATCTATATTTTGTTCTTAGAAAGAAAAAAAATGGCATGGAAGAGGCTTGATAATAAGCATCTCTCTGTCATTTACTCTCAGGTTCTTTGGATCAGTTCTTAAAACGTTGTTCTTATCTTAGTCGTTTATGATTTCATGTGGTCATTTTTGATCTGTCTATTAGTTTGGTTCTTTCAAATTTTCCGATTTTATATACTAATATTTCTTGTGGTTATATGCGTATTAGTAAGTGGTAAGTGGTAACCTTCACTATCAATGTGACATCAAAATTTCCTCATAGCCGTATCAATATGAGCTTCACAAGCTACAAAAGTTATTTCTATTGAAAAGTTTTTTTTTTTCATGACTTCAACTCAAAACCAATGATTACTTCCGGAGAACAAAAATCTACTTGGTGTTGATAACATCACAACAAAGGCTTCTATCTCTACACTTCTAAAGCTGTTCATCACTTGATTTACTACCCAAAAATTTACCCCCTCACCTAGAAATTTCGCTAATCAAACAATTTTCCGTACCTAAAATCCCAATGCCATAACAACATCATAGAACCTGAAGCAGAACCCTTCAACCAAACCACCAGATTTAAATCAAGAAATAATAGAGGTGTCATCATCACCTGAGATGAGAGTGAGTGAGAGATAGTAACTTCGTGTTTATTTTGCCAATTATGAGAGTTAAGGCATGACTAATCCATATCACTCCTCGACATCTCGGCTGTTTGTGTCTCTGTTTCACTTCCCACTCTTCGGTAGAACAGTACATATGCAGCTGAGTTTTTGATTTCAGATTCATTTACTGATGAAACGTGACTATCATCGAAATGATACCATTTGTTGTCATCAATCAACTGCAAGAAAAGTGACACATATGATCAGATAACAAACATATCAGAAGTAATGTCTAGTAGCAAGCAGACTGGGAACAACTGTCGGGTGGATAGAAAGTCTAGTCTACTATATGATGATAAAAAATGCATTTGTGCATATGGACGAGTATAAAAAATTCAAGTAACCAACCTTAGCGTAGGCAGTGTAGTGACCACCACCAAGTCCACCGTAATGATTACTAACGGCATATAGTTCATATAGATATGACTGGCCATTCTTGTTTTTCACGTACTTGCTCAAGTCTAGATCCTGAATTGGGAAATTCACAAACGTATCGATCTTGTTCTTGAGATATCTGCTATACGTGAACCGTTTTAAATGGAACACAAGGATATCGGGCAACTTCCACAGGTCTAGCTTTTTGTTCGCTTGTCTGTGTTCTTTGCAGCTCGGACAAAACCTAGTTCAGAATGGTGAGAAAGTTGGTCAAAGCTAAATCTTCAAATGAATATTATCAGTTTTATGTGATTTTAAGTCCAAGCTACGAGCTATACCACATATCATCCGGTCCCAGAGGTTCTTCTGCTAAAAAGGCCTCCAAACACGAAAACAGGGATATGGCTTCTTGCCTTGTCTTTTTTGCAGAGAAACTTGTTTTATGAACCTCCGGAAGATCACTCAAGTAGCTGGAATCATATGTTTCATGCTCACCCTCATTCCACTCGACTAAAACTCTTGTAATGGTACCCGGGCTCACAGAAGATTCAGACTGAAGTGGTTTAAAGTTCAAACCACGTTCATCTGTCAAAAATATCCTGAAGGATAACTGTCCATCAGATGCATCGTCTATCTCGGTATCTGGGGATGATAAACTTCCGGATGTTTCATCAGCAGTAGCATCCGCAAGGTGGCCATTGTCACTTCCGTTATGAATCTTAGACGAGGCATGGACCCTGTGCAGAGGTGACAGAAATCCAGAGATAACTGCATCAATGTCAGTTCCACTTAGTGGGTCTGTGTTGACATAAGTCACTAAAGGAGTTCCAAAATGCTTCACGTCTCTGCCTCTAACACTCTCCAGAACATCCCTGTGGAACCCAATAATTATGATCCATAAAGCTTAACAAGAGGAAAAAAGAAGAGTTCTTGAGTAATAAATAAAACCAAGCATGCTTACCTTTCCAGCCCTCCATGAAGAATCTCGAGTTTTGCTTTTCCAGATCCTTTCGGCATCTGATTTAACCGATATGCCACAATATGCTCATCATCTTTTATCGCACTCAGTGAATCCAGGGGATTCTCAAAATATCTAAAGATCTTGTGATCATATACCTGAGAGGACAATTACAGACAATCGTCAGGGATTTCAGCCCAAAAAAAGGATGAAGGAAAAATATTAATACAAGAAACGTACCTCTGCAAGTAATAGGCTCTCATCATCGGCTAAACAGCAAGCAGTACCTAATGCGGTAATGAGATCTCTACAAGATCCATGTTTAGGCACTGTTACAGTATACGGCATCGGAAGACGACTTCCATCGCAATAAAACACCGTAATTGTCATGGATCGCGTAAGTGTTGATGGCAAAGGTACAGACAAGTACATGAAGGGATCAAAAGTGATTGATATTTTTCCACAAACTGGACAAACCAGAGTTGACTTGTATTGGCCCTGAAAGAAATTGAATACCTCATAAGAAATGGTCGGGAAAATGAAATACAGAAACTTGTAGTACTTGTATGAAAAACTAGAACAGTAGAACCAGATGAACATTCAATGGAAGAAGCAATTAGGAAACGGTAACAGATACTTACTTGACAGACGTTAACTATTACAGAATCATTGCGGGCCTTATGATAATTCCAAAGCTCTTCAGCAACTTCATCATCCGGACGACTGTCAGAATCTTTAAGTTCGATGTAAGGTTTTCGTTTGACCTTATTCAAATCTTCATGCAGCCCATCCAATAAGAAAGCAAGCAGTTCCTGAGACAACAGTTTAATACATCATACACAAAACAAAACAAAACAAAAATGAAATACTGTTTTTACTGTCAAAGAGGATAACATAGAACAACAACATATTAGAGAAAATGACTAACTTGAGAATCATGCTGATTGTAACCACTAAACTGTGGAGCAAATCTAGCCAATTTTGTCTTAAAAGAGCGTGGTGCAACAGCGTTCCTTGATGACCATAATTTCTTCAACAAATCACCAAATGCGATAGCAAGCTCACCCTGGAAATTTAAGTGTTAGAATTATATTCAGAATGCATGTGAGTACCATCACATGAGGAAATAGAAACGTATCAAGTACTTACACACATTCCCAAAGGATTATCTCTATTTATGTCATCACTGTAATCTTGCAAGAAGTATTCAACAATTGGAGGTGTGTGGGCCAAACACTGAAGAGCGCTATTCATAAAGCAGGTATTTCCCAAATTACTCAATCCTGCTAATCCTCCCTTTTCTCCTTTTCCAAGAATACTCAAAGAATTGCAGCCGTCGTCTTCAGAAGTTATTCTCGGAAAGAGGCTAAACTTGGACGTAGTGGAATGACCATTTGATAGGGTAGGCCCCCCAGCAATTGTAACACGCGACCTTGAAGGTTCCAGAGGTACCAGAGCTAACTCATTTCCTGCCGAGCTCATAGCATATTGAGAGGAAGACGACCCATCAACTTCAAGAAGAATCTGCATGGAATGCACCAGTCAATGTCAAACATGGATATTAAGTGAGTTAAATGCAATTCGGTTTGTCTCAATAAAAGAACTTAAGAGGCATGCATTATCCAACAAGTTCCTCTCAACAATATATTTGTCAACAAAGATTCAAGACAATGACCCAAAATCAAGTTATGACAAAATGAAGTGCAAGTGACAAAGGTGATTCCTCAAGATTTGTCAATATAAGTATCACAGATCTCTAGATACTTACATCTTGGTCCATCTGAAGGCTAGACTCTTCCAGGCTCTTGTTAGATGAAGGATCCAAGAGTCCGTTTTTCCTCTTATGGAAATAATCCCATATGTGAGCCTGCTTATACATATCAGTGTGAATTAAAGAACACATCTCCATATAAAACAATGCGTATTTCATCAGAAACAAATCTAGACATAGAAATGAAACACACCTTTTCTTGCGCTACCCCTGTCATAGTGCAAACCTTCTCACAAAGTTCCCTTATAGAGGTCTGAAACACGAACAACCCATATAAGAAAGGGACCAAAGTGGGGCCTTATAGTAAATACACAAAGAGTCTCTGGCTATGCATAAGCACAACAAGTAGGTAGAAGCAAAAGTAAGAGCCTGAGTAGTATGATGGGGCATACTTGTTTTCCCAACCGTATTGTAGTTCTACTTTCATCTCGTCCGTCTGTCAACATAAGGCAGAGTGGGTAAACCTCTACACTATAACTCCTACTATAAAAGCCTTGACAGATCAACTTCCTTTCTATCGGAGGACCTCCGCTATACCTGAAAGAGATATGAGACCAGGTTATGCCATTAACAGTTGCACGACTATAGCAGGTATATAAGCAAAGACAATAAATGAAACAATCATGCAGCAAAACCTGGACCTTGTCCCAATCAGAAAGAAGTAGCATATAACCGAATGCTTACCATTCAACAAGTCTTTTCCAAACTTCTTGAGGAACTAAAACGTAGTCAACCCCTTCCACCAACAATCTACGAAGTTGTGGATCATTAGCGTCGCTTTCACTTTCGATAATATCATGGTTATCAATCGGTCCAGGTCTCGAAACTTCCGAGGACTCCTCACTTATACATTCATCTGTCGATTGCTCAACATATTTCTGCCAGCTTGCATACCACCTACACTAACACAATTATTAACATCAACTCACACAAACACTCATATTTCAATTCCTCACCTAAATCTTAGAATCTATAGAATTCAACAAAACAATAGATCAAGATTCATGCATGAAACTACTTGGATCATCATCATCATCATCATCAGCTAACAAAAACGCTAAAAGCAGAATCAACTAAAGAAAAGTTGAAACCTAATCCAAAGTAACGCGAACCTTTTAGAGATGACAAAATACAAGTTTCCTTCTTTCAAACTATCTTCCGATTCGGTAATCAGCTCCGATACAATACGTTTCTCATCCTCAGGAGTAGTCGGAAAATCACAGACTCCGTTTTCAATCATGAAATCGGAATTAGGGATCGTCATCTTCAAAAAGATGAAGAAAGAGAGAGAGATCCACCAATATGAAACGAAATCAAGAGAATCGGAGAGGATTACAAGAAGAATTTGAAGGAACCCTAAATTGGAGGAGAAGAAGGAAGAAGAGAGAGTCAGAGAAAGGTCTTGTTGGTTGGATTCACGATCTCTATGGTCTGTGTCTGTCTCATGTTTCCAATTTCCAAAGAAGTAGCAATTTCTTTTCTTGTAAACAATGAATTACTCTAATTTTTCTATTTTCGAACTTGTTAAATTGTTGTTTTTTTTTTTTAATTGCTTTTTTTTCTCTATTCTAATTTCTTAATTAATTTTGTAATATGTATTTGGTTAAGTTTGAAGATCGTTTGAATTTTTTTTTTTCTTATATATCAACATTTCTGTTTCAAGATTACAATAAAAAAATATATCTTTTTTTCTTTGGCAAAACATACTTGATTTGATAAATCCATAACAAGTACCGGATTTAAACAAATATCCAACACAAGATTAAGAACACCAAAAAAAAGCAACTAGCATTCTAACAAGCGAATTGTAGAGAAAGTAGATACGATAATTCGACGGAAGATCCATACATCAGACTATTGGAGGCAAGAACATAAATGTAGCTTGCCACTAGCGAGCGAATGGTGAGTCGAAGATAATTCTGCGAAGACTTCGAAAAAATGAAGATTGGTCATGATCCAAAGGCATAGTGACGTTGAAAATGGTTCTTAACCATGGGTATCACTATCACCGGTTTGATACACGCATCTTTTAAGGATATTGATAGGATACATATACACGGTTTCGCAAAGAGGGGTTCGGAATCCAAACCAAGGTTCTCTCTGTCAAATGATTGTAGCATAGATTCTTAGACACATTAAAACGATTAACAGCACTAAAGATATCTTTCTTTAGGGATAGTAAAAGATTCTTAGCTATCCTAACTATCGATGTCAAAACAAAGTGGAATTGGAGTCCTTGGCCAATCTCAGCAAAGTTAGAAAACGTCAGTAGAATAGGGATTGCCAAAGATTCATAATCAATCCTAATTTGATGAGATCGTTGTCCAAGGTCTGCAACATTATTCCCATCTTTTCTTCCGCTCAAAATTGCGAGACAACGGTCTTTGATATTTTTTTTTGTTCAACAATTTTATAAAATGTTACACTCCATCAAAGGAGGAATTGGTTACAACCGAAGAAAACGAATTTATCAAGGCTATTAGAATCGCTACACCAAACGCCAAGCGAATTACACAAAAGCAATAGATAAAAGGATAGAAAATAGCATTCTTAACACTCAAGCAATAAACATCATCGCGGAGTCCTTGAACCTTGACAACCTTAGAACTAAGAAGTGGAGCGATGCCATCTGAAGAAAGAGCACAAATAGTGATCTATTGCTCGTGATTGACACTGCAACAAAGGCAGAATTAACAATCCTAATTTCGGCTACCAAAGCAGAGGCGATAAAACACCATTTTGAATAGTATCACACCAAATTAGTGTTTCTTGGTGAGACTATTGCATTACACTAAAACAATGTCGTTTTAGTGTTCCATTGGAGAGTTATAGTGCCAAATAGAAATTACACCAAAATGGTGTTTTGGTGTTCCATTGGAGAGGATTACAATAACATTTTTTTTACCGCTTGGTAAACCAAACAAAAATAGAAACAAAAGTTACAAAATGATTTTTACTATTTATAATTAAAAAAAAAACACAAGTAAAGATAGAACTTCTACAATATAAATAACATTATCTCTAATAATTTATCGTTAAATCCAATGAAGTTGTTATTCCAAAGAGATTACTACCACTAACCTGATATGTTTATAACTAATTTAATACTATTCTATTTTTTTCTCGCACTTAATATTTTCCATTCGAAGCCATCAATTAAGCTAATTTAGTAAGTCCCATTTTAAGCTTTCAAATATTATGAGTATAAATAAAGTGTTTGAAACATACAAAGAGAAAATACCAAATAGATTTGTTTCTTCTCAATATGGCCACAATGTTCATCAAACACATCATGTTTCCTTTATCGTTGTTATTACTCGTGTTCATTGCGTCTCCAACTACAAACGCGATGCTTATCAAAGACATGTACACATTTTGCAAGGAGACAGCTGATGTGGATTTCTGCTTGAAATACATTGGAACGGACAAACGTATATTAGCCGCAAAAGACTTCAACGACGTTCTTTTAATTGCGGTAACATTAGATAATAGTTTCTAAATTTCGTTAACTATTATGTAATATTTATTTATCAAAAAGAAAGACAGATCATAAATTGAAAACCTGAGACATGGAAATCTCCTTAATAATTTTTTGAGTTCTAATTAAAACATTTTATCAGTTTTCTCAGTGCAAAATCCAAGTGAGCGAGGCAACCAAACAAATCAACAAAGTCCGTCAAAACTTTAGTGGTCCGAATGGGAAAAGACGAATCAAACGTTGTGAGATAAACTATGGGCTAGCTTCCGCTTTTTTCGATGAAGCTTATGAAATAGGAATACTAAAAGGGGTACAAAACAAAGCTCACAATGCCGCATTGGATGGCTTAGACTATGTGCGTGCATGCGAAGACGAATGGAAGATGAATGGTCCAGTACAAAAGTCTCCTCTCACTTTCTATAACACAAATATTGACAAACTATTTTCTATTATTTTTATTATTGTCCAGAAGCTTAATGGCTAGATGTCCTCTAAACGGGTCTTGGAAGGAAGCAACTCCTTGTTATGGGCAAATAGTTTAAGGCAAATACTATATCGTTGAATGCTACACTTTCGAAATAGAATTGTTTAGAGATGGTTAAGATGAAGACAAATCCAAATGACGATAAAGTTTCCCTCAACGATTTTAGTCTCCTCTATAGGAACTTTGCTAATTTGTTCTTGAAATTTATGATTAAAATTTGCTAATTTTTGTTTAACATTTTTTGTTGTTTATATTATAAAGCTTAAACTTTGATCCCTAGTGATTGATATCTCCAAACTTGGGAAACTTTTGTAGAATCTTCTCCACCGGATTTGTTAAACATACCGGATGTAATAATTACATACCGGATGACAATTTTTGCAACTTGTAATAATTAATATAGTTTTTGGGGTTTCGTTTTATAGTTTCATCATTTTCTAACATGAATAAAAAGAGAAAAAGAACAAAGGTACAACTAAAAATATTTAAAGATATAAGCTAAATTATAAGTTTAGAGGATTAAGTCTCATTTTGTTTCCGTTTTTCATAACTTTTAAGTTTAGAGCCATTTTTTGTATCTTTTTGTCCCTAGAGTTTCTCTTTAAGTTCCCATGGTTGATGGTTCTCTTTCATTTTCCAGTTTCCATCCTTTCATTTTCCTTTCTCTGATCATGTTTTATGGAATGCAATTTTTTTTAGAAGTTGTATTGGGAAATTGCTTATTAAAGGCCTTGAAATCATGTTTGATATAATTTAATAAAAAAAGATTTTTTTTCCAATAATGCCTGACTTAAAGTAATTGTTATAAAATATTAATTCAATAACCATGGATTTTGAATAATTTTAGGGGTAATTTCAAAATTTTCTTTTGTCCAATACCACTTTTCAAAAATGCCACCACCCTAAAACCTTATCAAAAATGTCCTAAAAGTCAGAGATCTACTCATATACGTGTGTATGCTTATAAAAACATACACAAACTATTTTTATAAATGTGTAAAACCTTATAAATTATAAAATCTTATAAATACCTTGTAAAACATTATAAAACATCTTATAAAATTTTATAAACTACTCGATAAATACTTGGATTGAGTCTCTGAGTAGAAGTTACTATCCACAAGTACCTTATAAACTTTATTAACTTTTTAGATTTAACGAGAGACATTTTAGAAAATTGACAGTTGAAAGGACATTTTTGAAAAGAGACACACCAAAAAGAGGATTTTCTAAATAGACAGTTGAAATGACATTTTTGAAAAGAGACACTCGATAAGGAGGATCTTAGAAACCTATTTCAATTGTTTCGTTCTAAATTACCTTTTCTTTTAAGTCATTATTTTTACTTTATTTGGAAAATACTTTCTAAAACACGAGCGACTCTAAAGCTTTTAACCTACCAAATGAGCAGAAAGCTGAATCAGAATTTTAGGAGATAAATAGCTTAAGATAGATATTCATAATGTGGGATACACCCAATTACTTATATTTAAATCAATTTTCTTCTTTTAATTGTATTCTTAAAACATAATCAATTTTCAGAGAAAAAAAAAACAATATAATCATTTATATCATCTCAGATGAAAAAGAACTTTCTTTTCTCGGTTACCGTTCTAACTCTCTTCATTCTTTTTGTGATAGGTTTGTCTCATTTTACATTTAACATGGTCTTTTTAAGAGAAGTAAATACAAATACCTTATGTTAAGAAAATAATCATTTATGTTATATAAAATTTGTTTCAAAATGAAACTTTATTTTTTTTTAACAGCAAAAATTCCAGTATATTTGCTAGACCTAGAAAACAGATACCCAAAACGTATATTTGAAATTGTTTTACATATTTTGGTTAATTCCTTCATTTTATAAACATACATATGGTCTTATTATATTAGCAATAAATATTTTGATATAAATTGCTTCAACATATTTTCTTTGCTTTTTATTTTCATTATCAATGATTGTTGTCTTGTGCCGCATATATAAATGTATCAAGCTATGTTTTTGTTTAGTAAATATTAATACTCTATAGTTTTAACATTTAAAGTAATTTTATGTGACACCTCTATATTCTTTTTAGTTACAATTATATCTATTTGTCAAAAATGTTCCATGTTTTTTTGGATAAATATGTCAAGATATTTATTTTATTTTTTATTAAAATTTAGTTTTTAGTTTTTAAGTTAAATAATATGAAAATTTTTAAATTACCCATGTGTAAGTTTCTTAGTTCTAATGTTATGTATGAAAAATAATCAGATTTTTTTTTGTGAATTTAATAATCATAATTTGAAAAACTGCAATTTAAACATGTTATTAATATGCAAAATAAAATCTGCAAAACATCTATATTTTACTAGAAAAATGTTTTTTAATTTTAATTACTAAAATTAAGATTTTCTGTTTTATATAAATCAGTATCAGGAGTGGGTCAAAGAAGACAAGTGAAACAAACATGGTGTTCTAGACCTTTACCTAACCAAACTGGGAAATGTATCATCGAAGAATGTGAGTCTAAATGTAGACAGAAGTGGAAAGGGAATGGTACAGAGGCTACATGTCGTCACCAATGCACTTGCCATTTTCGTTGCCCCTGGCTTCAAGGCCAGGCCTGACAAATATGAGGCTTAGTTTTTTTTATCTAAGTGCAATGTTGAGTAAAAAAATTCATTGACCTAATTTGTTTTATCATGTAATTGTGGACTCTCAAATATTTTGCTTTATTTACCTTTTTTAAGAAAATCTATTGAAATTAATTATTCATATATATATACAAGACTGGCTCCACAAATCTTTTCCATATCCTTTTAATCCGTGCCTCCGAAAATTAGAGGTTTAATAAGATTTTTTGATGGGTATATATATGCTCAGACCTGCATGGGCATTAATGTTTTCTTTTCCTTCCATCTATTTTGCCACAACAGACTGAAGCATTAGTCGAAATGAGAGAACACTCGATCTCATATGAGCATGTCTGGCTCATGGCTAAAGCTGATGAAGTTAGAGTTTTAAGCATCATATAAATATAAAAGAATTTTGGGGCATCGGTTTTCAGTAAGCCATTGTGGCAGAGTGGTTAAGTATTTTACTTCACTTCGAAAAGTATATGGTTCGAGTCCTTTTCATTATAAATTTCTTTTTCAACTTTGTTTTAAGTTGGGCCAAATTTTTTTTTTGCTTTAGGCATCAAATTAAGTCACTACATATGAGATGATGTCGGTTCTTTATGGATACCACTAAACTGCAGTCACTTTTCTTTTTAGATTATCTACATTAGTTGCAATATTAAAACACCATATTTTACCTTTTAACACTTCACATAATCTTCTCTCTCTCTTCCACATCATAATTCAATACTCACTATAAATTTTTATCATATACAAAAGTTTTGTTTATTAAAATTACAACACTTATCCTACCATCTTTATTTCATTTTTTTTGTGTTTTTGTTTTTAATAATTATAGATTATTAATACCAAGTAAATATCGACTAATATTAAAATAAAATAAGTAAGAGTTAAATAATTGAAAATGTATAGTAAAAAAGACTGGGTTTTTTCTGTGTCTAAAACAAATGAAATAAGTTTCTATATATAGAGTATGAAAAAAAAATCAAAAATTTGAGAGACCAATCAATACACTCAATGTGTTCAAATCAAAAATCAACTTTTGCTCTTTTTCTTTTGCCCAATCAAAGTTTGACACTTATTGAAGAAGAGCACCCACAAATTTTTCAACGGGTTGTGAAAACTTTCAACAATAATTTTCCACATCATCTTCTATTTATTTTCAACACACCATTGTAAGGTATTCAACAGTTGAACAAATATTTTAACAGTCGAAAAAAACCCTTAGGGTAAGTTTCTCAGGGAAAAATTCATTTAATTCCTCAAATATTTGTAATTGGTAGATCAATTCCTCAACTATCGTGTGTGCGCACATCAATTCCCTAAATTCTTGTTGACTACGCTAATTGAAACTTGAAAAGGTTAACGTCAAATTGTAAAACTTATAAGTTAATACTCCCTCTGTTCCATTTTATTAGATGTTTGAACTAAAATCACAAATATTAAGAAATAATAAATATATTCTCATTTATGAAAATTCAACCAATAGAAGAAGATACTGCATAATTAAAATAATTAAAAACTATTGAACTAATATAAATCATGCATTAAAAGTAAAATCTTATATAGTGGAACAAATAAAAAGGCCTAAAACATCTTATATATTGGGACAGAGGGAGTATTGAATTTGTTCTAACCTAATTTTTCGTAGCCAATGCAAAGTTGAAGAATTAATTTGCAAACATGAAAGTTAAGAATAATTTTGCAAAATTGCACATCATTTTCTTTCACATATCTAATTTTATTACAAGCGATTCCTATTAAACATTCAAGTGCTGTGTACCGATCGAATGCTTACTGATCTAACACGAGTGTTTTCACTAAACACTTAGTTGATAAAGCTGGCTGATGTTAGTTATCATAACTACCTCAAACTCTCATGTACTTTATATGAAAAAAGCATATCTGCATAAAGCAGACTCAATGCAATGCACCTTGGTATTCATTTTAGTCTTGTTCCATCAAGCTCAAAATTCTCCAAAGACTCCTTTAATTCCAGGAGATTAACGAGTTTTTAGCAGCCATAGCTCTTCAATAGCTCCCAGCTGTTCAAAACAATTCGGAAGTCTCACAAACGCTTTGTAGCCTTTCATATTCCTTAGAAGATGTTTTTGGAATACAAGAAGGAAATCAGGCCCCTTTAGTGCAATGCCTTCCAACGAGAGAGCTTTCTGATCTATTTGAAATTAATCAAGGTGAGAATTTTCAGGGAATTCAACTTCATCTATGGCAGAGAGGAGAGGCGAGGCTCGTGCATCCTCCCAACTTCCCATCACTTATGCAACATCGTCAAGTCTATGAAGCCTTCAAGATTTCGAGTGCCTACTAAGACTGAAATATCGAACAGCTCACATGAATGACTAAGATTAACTTTACAATCAAGATAAACGTGCCTTTGTTGCCCGTTATTTGTCATCTTTTAAACCAAGAGATCGACAATAGAAAGAACGTTCACTTTTTATTGCATATATTTGGATGTTGAGTATCCTACAACAGTTAGTTGATTGGAAAGACGAATGAAACCATAAACCCTTGTGGTTAAATCTGAATATAAAGGTTAAGAATCTAAACTAGTGAACATGTTAGAGATCTAAGCATTGACAAAGGGTAATTCAAAGAAACTAAATTCGTGAGTCCGAAAACCAACCAAATCATATTTCCTCCTTAGCCACATTGCGCTTATTTTCTTGTTGAACCTTAAGGACAGAAAGATCAACAGTTGCAGAGCTCTTCAGCACCATTGGAAATGTTGGACAACTTTGTCTCTCATGTGCATGAACCTCGGATATTCATTGTTCCCTGGAGCATTCAGCTGCGATATTAATGGCGGCATCACTACCAACCTTCATAGCAAGACCACTATTAATGGTTCTCCCTCGCGAGCTTTGTATAGCGTAGAATAAATGTAGGTCGAAAATACTAGTGATTCAAAGAATAAACTTAAATATCTACAAAAATAAGAAATGTTGGTTGTGTAACAGATAATGTCTCTCCTGTATCCAAATCAAAGCCTTCTTATATCATCTTCTTCCTCTTTGTCAGCAACTTTAACCTTCTTCTTAACCCGATCTTCAAAACCACCCGGCGATCCTTTCCTCCTCTTATTTATACTCAAAGTACAAAGCAAGCTCTTCTCTTTGTCTACATCACTCCGAGAATGTATCATCTCAATTCCTCTAGAACCCCGATTTCCCTTACCATCCACACCGTATTCTTTCGACATAGACAACAAAACACCAGCACAAGTATCTTCTTCACCACCAACATCACACACATTCTCCTTCTCATCCCAACAAGGAAACTCCCTATACTGAAACCTAAACTTCTTAGGCACATAACCAGAACACTTCCAAAGCTGCCGACTAAAAACCGACGAAACACATTCAAACAAAGCCAAATCACCACCAGGAACTCCTTGTACATGAACCCTTTCTTCAATTGGTATCTCAGAACAAGTCTTCAATACAACAGTCTCACTCTGAATAGATGAGTTCTCCATTCTCAACGATTTAGTAACCGATAACTTCGACAATTCATCGTCGTTCTTTTTGATCTTACACTTGTGACAAACAAACAAATCATCTCCTTTAACATAACGAGAACACCATGTATGAACCCAAACACCACATTCATCACAATCAACCATCTCTTTACCATCATCGAAATTCACACCACAAACACAATCTACTGTCCAAGATTCATCAACCCAATCTTCGTGTGGCTTCATATCAAATTAACCCCCCAAAAAAAAAAAAAAAAAAACACCTAAACGCCTAAATTTCTCTGATTCTTCCACAGATTTAGCAAGAAATCGCCCTAAATTTTGAAGCTTTTTCAAACCATTTCGTCTCTTCTAAACGACGATTGTAATGTTACGTGAAGGAGCTTTGAGATTCCTGATTGAGAAAAAAAAACGTATCTTGACGTAAATCTATGATTTCTCAACGAAGAAGACGAAGATTCACCGAAGATAGAGAGACAATTATAACGTTAATTGATTTACTAAACACTATGGGCCGACCTGGGACGTAATGGGCCGAACTGGGCCGTAATGGGCCGGGCTTAGAAGATAGATACTGCTCTTTTTTTCTGGGAAAATCTCAAATTCTTTCTTCTTTCTTCGCCGTCGAGTTTTTCTTTGCTGAAGTTGAAGTTTTGATTTTCAGATATTTTTCTTTGGGTTTTTTTTTTTAATGCTAATTTTGTGTTTGTTAATCTTGTAGTTACTTGAGGAAGGCAGTGTTACTCTCGTTGACACCAATAAATTGTTATTCCAAAATTTTTACTACCACTAACTTTTTATTAATTTATTATTGTTTCATTTTCTTTTTAATATTCTACCATTCAAATTTCCCTAATTTAGTAAGAACAGTTTTTAGCTTTCAATATCATCCATCATAAATAAAATTGTTTCAAAAATGCGAAACAGAAAATACCAAACACATTTGTTTCTCATTATGGCTACAATGCTTCCCAGACACATAACTTGTCCTTTGTCGTTGTTCTTATTCGTGCTTATTGAGTTTCCAGTCGCAAACGCTATGCTTGTTAAAGACATGCATGCATTTTGCAAGGAGACAAATGATGTGAACTTCTGCTTGAAATACATTGGTACAGACAAGCGTATATTAGCAGCACGCGACCTCAACGACGTTCTTTTAATCGCGGTAACGTTAGATAATTAGTTTGTAATTACTTTGATTATAATGAATTAGTTATTTATCTGATTAAATAAAGTGTATGGTTAGAATACAATGTTAAACAAAGATTCATAATATCCATTCACCATTGAGATTCGAGTTTTTTTTTTTTAAGGAACCATTCTTCGAAGAATGAACACACTAAAAATGAAGATCGATAATATAAATTTGAGAAATGTAAATCTGCTATATTTTAATCTTACTCATTTCTTGATTTCTCATGAAAACTTATTATCAGTTTTCTCAGTCAAAAATCCAAGTGACCAACGCAGCCAAACAAATCAACAAAGTCCGCCAAAAGTTTAGTGGTCCTATTGGAAAAGAACGGATCAACTTTTGTGAGAGAAACTATGGATTAGCGTCCACTATGTTCCAAGAAGCTTATGAAATGGGACAACAAAAAATGCTCGCATATAGAGCTCACTTAACCGCACAGGGTGGCTTGGACTATGTGCGTGATTGCGAAGACGAATGGAAAAAGAATGGTCCAATACAAAAGTCTCCTGTCACTTTCTATAACACAAATGTTGTAAAACTATTTTCTATTATTCGTCTTATTATTAGCAAGCTTCAGCATTAGTTGTACGAGAATTAACCAAAATTTTGATTTAGTTAAACTATGATTAGTTATATATGTGTGGAATAAATAAGTCTTGTTTCTAGACTTGTCACTTGGTGGAACCAAGGTTGAATAAGTCTTGTTGCAGCTTGAAAGGATGACTTTCGTTTGCATTTTGTATTCGAATTGGTAACGGTAAGCATTATAGTTACATTGATACATATATGCATATATGCTTTGATTGTTTTCGCCGTTTAAATTAATATTCACTATTTACCAAAGTAAATAACCAAGTACTAGAAGTAAAACCGAATCACACATTCAATTTTCGTTTTCGTATGAGAAAGGCATCGTGTCGATAGTCTTGTTAACTCCAATAAAGTTGTTATACTACCAAATATTTTACTGCCATTAACATTTTTACCGTTATTACTACATTAATATTCTTCCATTCAAAGCCATAAATTTTCTAATTAATTAAGTACCGTTTTTAGCTTTCAACATCATTATAAATAAAATGTTTGAAACATACAAAAGATAAACTCTCAAACATTTGTTTCTCAGTATGACCACAATACTTTCCAAACGCATAACTTTTCCTTTGTCGTTGTTTTTATTCGTGTTTTTTGCGTTTCCTATCGCAAACACGATGTCTATCAAAGACATGTACACATTTTGCAAGGAGACAGCTAATGTAGACTTCTGCTTGAAATACATTGGAACGGACAGGCGTATATTAGCAGCTCGTGACCTCAACGACGTTCTTTTAATTGCGGTAACGTTAGATAATTAGTTTGTAATTACTTTAATTATAATGTATTAATTATTTAATCTGATAAATGAAAGTGTATGGTTAGAAAGCAATGTTAAACAAATGTTCATAATGTCCATTCTCCATGGAAAATTTGCTTTATTTTAGTCTCATTTCTCAACTTCTCATTGAGACTTATTATCAGTTTTCTCAGTGCAAAATCCAAGTGACCAACGCAGCCAAACAAATCAACAAAGTCCGCCATAAGTTTAGTGGTCCAATTGGGAAAGAACGGATCAACATTTGTGAGGGAAACTACGGGTTAGCATCCGCTATGTTCCAAGAAGCTTATGAAATGGGACAACAAAAAATGCTCGCATACAGAGCTCACTTAACTGCGCAGGTTGGCGTGGACTTAGTGCGTGAGTGTGAAGACGAATGGAAAAAGAATGGTCCAATACAAAAGTCTCCTGTCACTTTCTATAACACAAATGTTGTTCAACTTTTTTCTATTATTCGTCTTATTATATATAAGCATTAGTTGTACTGGAATTATGATTAGTTTACTCATTCACACACATCTTTAATAAACTAGATTGATTCTCCGTATAATATTAAGTTCAATGAATAAAACTTTCTTCAAGGTTTTGATAAATTAGGATTAAAATGTGTGAAAATGTGACGTTTTAAGTTTTATAACAATGTCTATGATTTTACATATTCAATTAATCTACAATTTAAGTAACAAATATAAATAATATTTGACCATTGCGCAGCTCAACAATGTCTCTCTTTTTTTCGTTAATCTGCATCAAAAAAAAATTATTTACAAAGGGGCTTTCTCGGGCGCAAATATAGTGTATGTTTCATGAACTTAGAGAGACAAAAGGGTTTTTTGGAATTTTTAGAGAGCATGTGAGCAAGAGAAAAGACGCTAGATACCAGTAGCTAGTTGGACGTGTGTGAATCGATGTCTCTAAAGAGAAGCATGAGCGACTGGCTGGTTGTATCCAAACCAAGGACATTCTAGACGGTAGTCTGTTGCGGGTGGAGTCTAGAATGTCCTTGCACACTGTCTCCAGTAACCTGCAAAGACATGAGTGTAAGCTCGCATTCCACTCTTTCCAAATTAGGTATATGGATCCTTGAAGAACAATCTTCAGGATAAATATGATGGGCACATTTGGTGAGCAATCTTTTTTTCCAAACGAGGAGATCATCAAAGGGTTGTTGAAGATTCAAATATGCAAGAATATTGTAATATTTCTTTTCGAAATAGAATTTTTGCATGAACAAGAGAAGAACAAGTATGATCGTGACTCCATCTCTTGATCTCACAACAAGCATCTCCAATTAAGATGTCCTTAGTTACCAATATGTATCTTGCAGCCAAGTAATAAATTGTGTTTTGGCCATACCGTCGGGTACCAAGAAACGCCGGAAGTGGAGATTGCGGATGAGTCCAAGTGTAACTCGATGAGAACGCAGGTTTTTTGGCTGTATGATCATGGTACCAGATAAAAGTCGCAACACTTATGGAGTTAAGGTATCTAGCAATAACCTTCTTAGTTATTTAATAGATGGTTGTACAACTTCTTTCTAGCATGATTATTGGTGTCCTTCGGAACCACTAATCATTTAATTTGGTATCTCTGATCATTTTACTCTATTAGATGTATTGAATGAAGAGTTCGTCACGCTGTCACAAATGGCTCATGGCGGCATGGCGTCGATTCCCAAACCCTCAAGCTCTTAGGGGTTGACACATAATGAATGTCCTAAATCTTGTTCTTTGTATCTGTTAATTAGTCGGATATTCGATGTCCAGAATTCCAATAAAAAGATATGCCACGTTAAAAATATAAATTTACCTCAACAAATTTTCAAAAGCTCCAAATTTCATTTTTAAAAAATGCTAGTATTCATATATCATTGGGAAACTTATTTCTTAAATTTGATATTTTTAAAGGGAAATTGTTAAAAATACCCCTTTTGGTGTGCCCCTTTTCAAAAATGCCCCTTTTAGATGTCCATTTTTAAAAATGCCTCTTTTTAAATCTGAAATTTTTATAAAGTTTTATTAGGTTTATAAGGGTACTTATGGATTGTAACTACTACTTGAAGACTCGATCCAAGTATTTATAAGGTTTTATAAGGTGTTTTTAAAGGTTTTACAAGTTATTTTTAAGGATTTTTAAGGTTTTTCAAAGGTTTTACAAGATATTTTAAAGGTTTTTAAAGGTATTTAAAATGCATTTATAAGGTATTTATAAAGTATTTATAAGATTTTAGATACATAGAAATGTAGTTTGTGTATGTTTTAATAATATTACATACATATTTGGGTAAATCTTATATTTTTAAGAGCATTTTTTATAAGGTTTTAAAAAAGGGGTATTTTTGAAAAGTTACATTGAAAAAGTGGCATTTTTGCAAAAAGCCTCTTTTTTAAAAGTAAATCTTGTGATTATTTTAATAAAATATGCAATCTATATTAAGAGAACTATATTAAGCCATTTTTTAAACCAATTTTTGGTCCCTTGGACAGTCAGTGACATTAATGTTTTTTTTTTTTTTTTTTTGAAAACTAGTGACATTAATGTTTGACTTTACGAATTTCTAAATAACTCAATGGGTAAAACCATTTGTTAGGTGTTATATAGGCTCAATACCACCATGTAATGTAGTGTGATATGGTTACCTGACAAAGGAAGCACTTTTGTCATATAGCCATCTCACAAGTTGTTGGATTCTACAAACAAGTTGTCAAATGCTTATCAGGCCTAATTAGTCATTCAAGCTCATATGAGTTTCTCTCTCATTTCCTTATGGAATTTTATAAAAGTTTTGAGAAAATTTGGCATTTTTGACAAAATTCTCATCATATGTTCTCATTTTAGATAGTATGACCATTTCTTTATTGGTCAATTGACATTTTTAATCATACGGCTGACATAGACCATCATCGAGTATATTGTTATTAATACATCTATTTTTAATATTTCTTTCTTTACTTCTTTTTCTCTTTTCTAAAAACGACATTGTTAATTTCAAATATCTCTGATATACATACTTTCATATTTAGTTATGTAAATATATCAATTTTCGTCGGTTATATATAGATTGGGAAATTTTTTTGTAAAAGAAGAGCGAGTCTCATGCTTTTATAATCTCAGATAATCAAGCAATCTGAATCGAAATATAAGGGCGTAGATATCTTAAAATAGACCTATTCTAATATGGCATACATTCAACTTCTTATATATATATATATATATATATATATATATATATATATATAAATATATATGTGCCTTTTTATCTTTCAATTTCATTGTTAAATGAACAATTATTTTTTGAAAAAAAAAAATAATTCATTTATATCATCAATGATGAAAAACTCCTTCTCAATTACCTTTTTAATTCTTCTCGTCATTCTTGTGCTAGGTTTGTATTTTCACTTGTAATAGTTTTTATATCTATCATTTTGTCATTTTACATAAATGATTTTGGATACCATATTATTTCTTTAAAACATCAATTCAACTATATTTATAAATTTGTGTCATAATTAATTTTCACTATAACATTCCATCATATTGAGTGTAGCTCTTTGTCAAAAATTTCATACTGGACCTAGAAAATTAATCTTCAATGTTTGGCGCTAGACCTAAAAGCCTTGTAGACCATATTTATCGGGCCAACTTGTTGGGCTGTTCTTAGATTTTAAAAATAATAAAATTGAGGAACATATACTCAAGAGCATGGGTAGATGTTCTCCCTGAAGAACTGTTGTAGCATCAGTTGAAGAACTGTTCTTAGATATTATAAGCTTTAATATTATTTTAATAACTAAGAACTATCTTCTTGTTTTACCGTTGCATATGCCCGGGTAAAGTACTTATTGAATCAGGCTCAAAAAAAAAATCCTCTTTTCTCTCTCAAAAACCCTAGCAGCCGCCGTAGTCTTTTCAGCCATCCTTTGGCCTTTTCCGGTGGTCGGCGCTCTCCGCCGCTGCTGTGAGAGGGCCCAATTGCTTTCTAATTTCTGGTTTTGTTTCTTTTAGTCCCGATCTATCTAGCTCCAGGGTTTTGCGGTGAGGATTTTCGTTGGACTGACATGGCGACACCTTGCGGAGGGCCTTTTGGCTTGCTCGACGGCCAGCTTCTCCGGTGAGAGTCGTTTGTAAGTCTCTGATTTAAGTTTCGTTTTCAGATTCTCAAGTTTTGTCAGATCTCGGCCGTGGTGTCGTTTTGGTTTCAGTTCGATTTGACGACTTTCGGGTCTGGGTTCTTATCCGCTTTTCTTGGGCTAGATGGTCTGGTTTTAGTTTCCTTCCCTTAGGTGTAGTTGTTTGTGGGGCTTGGCTCTTTGGGGGTAGCTCTGTGTGTGGGTTTAATTATGGATCTTTGCTCTACCCCTCTGTTGCGACCTCTTGCTTGTGCGTAGTTGCGTTTTGCTCTGGGTTCGTTCGTGGTGTAAGCCTTGGTGATGGTATTTTGTTGCCGAGTCACCTACTAGCCTTTCTTGTTTGGAGTTAGGTTCTAGTCGAGGCAGTGAAATCGTTCTCTAGCTCTTCTCTTGCGAGGATGTCATCAGTTTTATGTCTGTAGGTGGCTGAATCTGATTCGGCGAATGTCCGCGTGTTTGAGCTGTTGATCTTAATTGGCTTGTCTCCATTCGATTTTCAAGGTTTTGCCTTGTTCCTAGTGTATTTGTTTCTCTACCTTTGGCTGGTGAGGTGTGATGGTGGTTGTATTTGTGTCTTTGGTATCGGTGGTTTCTTGCCTTCCTCCCTGTCGGTTTGTTCATGGTTCGACTTCGGTGTGAGGTCTTTCCGGTCTTATTGGTGCTTCCGACGTTCACAGCTTCTATGGGGAAGATTGGTGTGAGTCTATCGTTCCTTTGTTCAATTATAGAGCTTAGGTTTCTTTCTTCCTCCTTGGGTTTTCCTCTTTTGAATTAGGTCTCTGATGTTGTAATTTATGGCTAATCTAAACTAGCTTCCCCGTTTCGATGTTGGGGCTTCGTTTCCCTTTTTTGGGCTAAGTTTCTGGGGACTTTATGTTCGTCCGCCGGCTTCTGTAATTCCAACTTGTATCAGTTCTTGAGGTTTTAGTGAAAATTCAGATGACAAAAAAAAAAAATACTTATTGAATAGTTTCACCTATTTTTGTTAATTTATTTATGTATATATATATATATATATATATATATTAAAATGTATTATTCACCTACAAGGCTACAATATGAACTCATTATATTGTTTAATTTAGAATATAATGCGGCAATAAAAAGCAATATATATGAACCTCTTCTATATATATTGGTCATAATATACTAAGAAATACTATAGTGATATAATCTGATTTAACACATTCTTATTTCTTTTTCATCATCAATCATTTTGTTTTCTTACCGCATAGATGAAGGTGCCAAGATACATTTTTTTTCTTATATATTTATAAGTAAATATATATGAAATATTTGAATACCTCTATATCATTCTATTTTAGTTATAATGTTATGTATATGTTAAAACTAATCAAACGAATTTGATAAAAGAATATATTTCCAGTCTGTTGTTAATACTTTAAATCTCTTCAAAACATCTATCTTTACAATACAAAAATTAATCTTTTTCATTAAAAGAACTAATATTTTATGTTTTATGTACATAGTAACAGGTTTGGTGGATAATATATCACAAAAAAGAGAAAGACACCCAGAAGAGGGTTGGCGTACTTAATAGGCATGACCACGGTTACGGTTATTACGGTTACGGTTTATTAACCTCCGGTTACGGTTATAAAATTTCTCTAACCGTAACCTTAACCGTTATATATACGGTTAAAACGGTTACGGTTAAATACGGTTACGGTTACAACGGTTACGGTTAAATACGGTTACGGTTATTTAATTATTACGATACGGTTAATATTAAAGACAAAAACTTAGGTATTTTAAACCTTTAGAATAAAATTTTTAATGATATATATCAAATAATATTTATTTTACAATATATAATATATGTGATTATGTACTTTAATATTTATAGTTAATTAGCTATTTTGTTCTGTTAAGTAAACCAACGAATAACTAAATTAATGGTAATAATTATAATGATTGAGTTATTTTTTTATAGACAATACGTGTTCCAAACAATACTATAGAAAGGATGTTATGAGAATTAAGAAACGATTACAGGAATAGAAATAATAACTTGTAAATTATTTATGATTTGATTTGTGGAAAATGAGTAGTGGACGAGTGGAGTAGTTTAAATTTAGTAGTGGGCATATTGAACCATTTAAAGCAATGTTTTAGTGAAATAATTATGTATTTTAGGTTTTAACTGCACGGTTAACTATGCGGTTAACCGCACGGTTAACCGTATGGTTAACTAACGGTTTTGATACGTTTACGGTTAATTAACGGTTACGGTTAGTATATTTTTTAACCGTAACTAATCTATTTTTACGGTTAACGGTTACGGTTATTAACCGTTTTATACGGTTACGGTTCGGTTACGGTTGAGAAACGGTCCGGTTACGGTCCGAAATACGGTTACGGTTAGCTTTTGGTCATGGTCTACCTAACCAAAAACCCGGGCCATGTAATCAAGACCGTTGTTTTGCTCGGTGTAAGGAGTACTTTAAGGAAATGGAGAAGGCAATAGGTAGTTGCTCTAAAAATAGTAAAAATCATAATATTTGCCAATGCACTGTCTGCCGTCCCAACTCCCAAATAGCTTAAATGCATTAATGTTTTAACAATAAACCTTTTT